AGTTGCCAAAGGAAATGCAGTCACTTGGAGAGATGGAGAAGTCAGATGATTTATTATGCCAGCAGGCCTCAGGGGAACTAGTGTTCCAAAATCCTGAGCCCCGAATGCAGGCAGAACTGGAGTTATATACTTTTTGGGCAAGCAAGCAAGGTAGCTTTACTATTGGCTCTCTGTCTGTATCCAGGCAGAGTTACTCAAATTGGGGGTCTTTAACAGGTGGTTCTTTGGGTAGGGGGCTTTAACAGGTGGGCGATCTGGGTCACGGAGTCGGGGGATGTGGTTCAGGGGCTTTCTGCAGCGCCAGCTAGAGAGCAACTCTGTCTCTCACACACACAGGAAATCTAACAAGTTGAGGTTTAGTTCAGTCTTTCACTAACACATGAAAATCAAGAACTAACAGGCTTGTAAACCACAGAAACACAGAGCTCAGAAGTGCATTCAGCTGTTAACCCTAAACCTAACTCTAGATATTTTTTTTTACATGTGAGCAGATTCCAACTGCAAAGCTAAAACAAGGATTAAGATAAGGGAGGGACAAGGAATTCAGCCATTACAATTACTACCTCACTATTGTTGAATAAATTAAAGATCTATTCTTCAAGAACCTTTCACAGCCATTGCCTACAGGGCACAGGATGTTACTATATAAATGATACGGATTGAAACTGGACTGAGGTCAACAAAAGTTTGAATTTTTATGTCATTACTGTGTGAGTTTGGAAAACTACTTAATCTGTCCTTACTTTAGTTTCTTAAACTGCAAAATAGGAATAAAATTGTCTACTGCATATTGTTGTGAGAATTAAATGAGGTGATATTTATGGAAGTATTAAGACAGTGCCGAGAACAAAGTGAGTACCTCATAAATGTGAACGCCTCTCTCCCTGCAATTGCAAGGCTGTGTGTTACAAAATACCTTGGTGTAACAGACAGGTAACAGTCTAAGACAGAACGCAGTTGGACCACTGGATTGTTCAGGACACTCTGTGTTCTAACACTACCTTACTTTCCCATTCTATCCCACTGTGTTCCTTTTACAATTCAGCCACTCTGTTGCCACTCCTAGAATATGACTTGAACTCTTCTGCCTCTGAGCCTTTGCTGGAGCATCTTTTTCCATCAAAAATGCCTTTCTCTTCTTATTTTACCTACCTACCTATATTCATTTTTATTTTCTTTCTATTATTTTTTTCTCTTTTCTTTTTTTTACTTCTTTTTTTCACCTATGTATATTTGTCAGGGACACATTCCCAATTCCCTTCTCTGACCAACTAATGTTTTTCTGGTTTTTGTTGTTGTTGTTGTTGTTTTTGGTATGTAAAAATGTATTACTACTGTGTTTATTTCACCACCAAAATTTATGATCTTGTTTTTTCCTTCTTGTGTTTGTATAGGGCCAAAAGAGAGACAATGGCTATTTTGACAACTTTAAAGCAGACTCTAGGAATGGCACTACCAGCATGACCCGTTTGACAGAATTCAGCAGCCAAAACTTTACTGTGGCCACTTACTGTATTTCGTCTACACTTCTATTATACTACATCTGACCTCACAATTATATTGAGTTGCCTATCCATACCCATTTCCATCTTTGTCTGTAAGGTCCCCATTCTCTTCATCTTTGTGAATCTTAAGTGACAAACATGCAGTTGGAGGTCAAAAAGATTTGTGCCACTGAGACAAATGTGGAAACAAGCAAGACGTGCTCCCTGCATGACGACTGAGCCAGTAAGGCAAGAAAACAAGTGTACAATACAAATACCCCAGGTAAGTCATACATGCCCTATTAGAAATTCCACAATATGGCTGGGGCCGGGGGAAGGAGGGTGAGGTTGAAAGAAAGACTTCATGGAGGAGGTGTCTGGGTGCATGTACCTTAGGGAGAGGTTATTTGGAATTGAGAGAAGAGGCATAGAAATACTGTCTGAGCTCCACAGATGTTATCTTAACGTTGTGTGTGAATATTTGTGTTGGGGGCTCAGCAGACGTTCTCTCCTCCTCAGCACTAAACAAGCTGCAGCACTTAGTAGGGAGAGAATTTCTAGGGCTCTTAGGTCATTCAGTGACTGCGCAAGAGCTCACATAAGTAGCAGTTTTGGGGCTTGAAGGGTCCGCAGTCACCTCCAGGGTTACCCGCAGTTCTGATCTTCTTCTTCAGAAGAATGGCCCAGAAGAGTATGTACTACCCAAGCTCTGCTTCAACTGCAGTGTATGAGAAACACTAGCCGAGAATTAACAGGCAAAAAATTTTCCAGGGAATTTTCTGGATTGGGATATGAAAAAAAAAAAGTGACTTAGTATGGCAGGCTGCTATTAGATTATTTTACTTCTTCATTATCATATGATCCTTTAATGATATTGCAACAGCTTTCGTTGACAATATGACTTGGAGTTAATTGAGGCAAATCCTTTTAACATTGAGACAGCTAGTAGAATTCTCATGAGTATCAGGGCATTATTTCTCCCTCTTTCTTAGAAAAGACGAGGTTTTTCTGTGGATCATCTGTCCAACACCAGCTCCTCATAGAGGAAAAGCTGCAGAGTGGCTCACCACCACCTTCTCTGAAAACTCTGAGTCCAGGTTTTTAGTTTGGTTGACTTTTCAGTGTTAAAACTTTTAATTTTGTTGTGTTCATATTTCCTACATATAATGATGCATCACAGTATTGAGTTACCTCACAGATATAGTAAGTAAGATGAAAAGACAGTGATTTTTAAAAGCCATTTTCCATGTGGGTACTTGTGTTGGGGCTCATGATGTACACACTGACAAATTCTTTGTCAAACTTCATGGTATGGGGGAAGAGTATGGTACAATGGAATGAGTCAGAAGATCTGAGTTCAAGTCATAGCGTCACTCACTTTAGTTATCCTAGACAGGTGACAATCGGTCACTTGGAAATTTGGGGGGAACCAGATGAGGGTGGAAAGAATAAATAAATGAACAAATATCCCTTAATTCTTCTGAGCCCTACTTCTCTCAACTACACAATGGGGTGAAAAAAATTAACAGAAGTAAACTAACATATGTGGAGGTATTTGGTAAATGGTCAATTCACTATAGAATGTTATTATTATTATCTACACTTTTATTTTTTATCAAATGCAAGGGTATGAGAAACCGGATAAGCAACAACATGGACAATTGAACCAATACTTTAGAGGATTTTGACCTAACCTTGCATCTGGCTATACATTCAGAAACATTGCTTCCATTTGATCAAATTAAACATAATTTTTGAGGGGGGTGGTGGTGAAACCATTTCCAAGAATTTATCTTAAAATGTTAGCCCTGAGTGAGGGGATCTATGTCTCTGGAACACTTGGCAGGGAACACACATGCTGACCACCAGAAGCGCTTGACCACCTTGACCATTTCCTCTATTTCTGGGATCCCAGAACACTGATGACACAAAGCTTGAGCCTCTCAGAAGGGAAGCAGCGTGGGGTGAAGACAGGAAACTCATACTGGGTTGGCCTCTCAGGTGTGCACGTTCTTCCAAAACAGACAGAATGGGGTCTGTCTGCTTGAGGCCCGAGGTAGCTGCAGACTGCAACCCTTGGGGCCTGAACACCATTCTCAGAGTTAGGGAGACTTCACAGAGGTAGATGTCAAGTGATTTCATCTGATGGACTCCATCTCACCTGAAATTGCTCACCTTATAGGAGCCCCAGTCATAATTTACTGTTAGAAAGGAGGTCACAAAGAAGCACCCACTTTCAAAATAGACTCTCAGGTGTAATATAGGAGACATACAAGGGTACTTCAAAAAGTTCACAGAAAAGAATTAAAAGATAATATGAATCTTTCCATGAACTTTTTGAAGCATGCTTGTATGGGTTAGCTCAGTCTACTTTGAGTTCTGCTTTTACAGTAACCACATAGGGCATCTAAACTCACATTTTTTGTGTGGCTGTAGAATCCGGCTGGCATGTCCTGCTGGCATGTCCTCACCAAAGACCCACCCTTCCCGTGGTGACTGATATGACTGATCAAAAGTTGCCAGTACCAAGTCCCCCAGAGGCTTCAGCACTTCCACTGATAAATGGTGAGGATTTGTTCCTCTCAGAGAAGTTCTGATGAAGATGAATGGTCAATACAAAGGGCAATAAGATATATGAACCCTAAAGTAAGGTTTTCAGACAGACCAATCGTATCTTGACAGTCTGTTGCTCTAGTCTGTGATTTGGAAGTGTATTCCAAGATGGATAGGAAGAGCGAATGAGATCAAAGGCAACTATATTAAACCTGGGAAATTCCTTCTTCAGACAAATGATAAAGTTGCTGAATCTGCACCAAGGAGAAGAATGATTATATGTAATACTCAGACAATCTTCCTCTTGAAATGTTAATGGCTTAGAGACAGTCAACTGCCCTGCAGAACAAATTATGATCTTGTTTCAACTTGCGTCAAAATGGTAAGAGTCATCTATAGTATAAAACATTAGAGAAATGAATTTAGATAAGCCTTGGCCTTGTTGAAAAATCAAATTCCTTTAGGATGCTGCGTTATTAATATCATAGTCGAAAACCAGAAATAATGACACCCCCAACCCCACATCCTATTTCCTTGAAAAAACCCTCTTACTATTATTTTATTTTCTCATTGGAGCAATTTTCCATGCTAAGGAACCACAAACAGAAGTGACAGAAATGACAACGGTTAAAAAAGGAAGACTCTGAAAACGTTAAATAAAGGAGAACAGAAATTTGTTTACACACATTTCTAAGTAGACAGCCAATTAGAGCAGACACCAAGCCATCGATCTCTTAGTTTTTAGAAGAGTCTGAAAGTAAGTCCCTTCAATCAGAAAAAAGGCAGGGCCCAAAATACACAACAGTAACTATCAGCAGCTACAACATAATACTCAGATACTTCCTTTGAAGTTAAGTAGCCCGTACATATTTTACAGTGTTTGTTAGAAAGCCAATTACCCTAATTAAGTCTTGGAAGTGCACAGGGTTGGGAGTACCATGACTAATAGTCACTGTCACTTACTAGGGCATCTCTCCTCCTCCTCCGCTGGCTGCTCCTTCTCTGGCTTGGGTGGGCCTTTGATTTTATACACCAAGGCACAGAGTTTTCCTGTCCAGGAGCTATCTTCCTCCTCCTCCTCCTCTTCCTCCAGGGGAACTCCTAGCAAGTCACAGAACAGAGTGGAAACCTCAAACAGTACATGAAATCATTGTGTGTTAGAAAGAATAAAAAAACCTACTTCCTATCCTTCTGGAACTTTCTAAATACACTATAGTCAGCCTCCCATAAACACCTACCTACATTTTGTCTTTCAAGAAGTTCTTTTTTTAAAAAAGATAATCTCCTGTGTATAAAAATATCAAGTAATTTTAGTCCCAAGACTTTTTTAAAATTCCATTTATTTATTTATTTTTTTGGCAACTGGCTGGTTGGCCAGTACAAGGATTAAACCCCGCACGTTGGTTTTATCAGCACCATGCTCTAACCAACTGAGCTAAGTGGCCAGTCCCTAAGACCTAACTTTTTCTAACCTATATTCAAAGAGGGCTCCAGAGTCTCTAGAAAGAAAGAGTTAACATTGAGTTACTTCAAGTGAAAAGCTCACCTATTACCCATATATTACACCACGTACAAGCAACACAAATACTGAGAGTGATTTAAAACCAGCAGATGCATATTAAAGTAGGGATTGCTGGCTTAGAATTGTTAAGGGCAGAAGTTACAACCTGCACACACACACACGCACACGTACATACACACATACCCTATTATAATAGCTAAAAAGCAAAGGGGATCAGAATTTCAGTTCAGCTGGGAGCAGAGTCCTAACTATCTAGCTTTAATAAAATGGGTGAGGTTTATTTATATAAGGATCAGTTATTTTCCTTCTTCCTCCACAGATCCTGTTCCCTCTTTATATCTCAGCTAAACCACTTCTAGGCAGAAGCAATTTCAGTCATATATTCTGCCGGGATTATCTTCTGTATCTTCTCTGATCCAAGTAATTTGGATAGAGTCACTTCTTGAACAATTTGGATTGTAATTTTAAACACAGAAATAACTTCCTAACCCCCCATAAGCTTTCTAATGAAGAAATAAGAAGCAAACTTTTCTTAGATAAAATCTTTCTCTCAGAAACTTACCACAGTGACTGAGAAGATCCTCATGGAAGTCATACAGCTCTTCCCGGATCTCCTCTGGGCAGGGGCAATTCTCTCCCAGTTGAAAGTTAAGAAGCATGTTGATCTTTGAGGGGCAAAAGAAGAGCGGCTAGTTGATTCTCAGTGTCAGATCTTGCCCTAGACAAACACTTAACATTTTTTTGCAAATTTTACTTGTTTTTTTTTTTCTGTTAAAGTGGCCAACATTTAAAAGTAGTTTTCACTTTTTTTTCCTGATTTTAAAGGTAATTTATTAATTGCACAGTATTTGGAGAATTCCTAAAGAAGATTTACTGCGATCCCACCACTGAAAGGTAACCACCGTTAATACTCTAGTTAATAGCTTCCAGACTTCAGGAATACACACGCAGATTAGGACCATATTCTAGAAACCAGTTTTTAAACTAGTTTTTCACTTAATTTATCTTGAACATTTTCTCATCTTCTTAACCTTATTTTTAAGGTTATACTATATTTAAGTTGTTTCCATTTTTTTGTCCTTATAAATAAAGTTGCTTTGAACTTCCTTTAAAATAATTTTTGTTCACCTCTCTGATTATTTTCTTAGGATAAACTCCTAGAAGAGAAATGACTGGAGCAACAGTTTTGTACATTTTAATGGCTTTTGATATGAATTGCCAAATTGCCCTCCAGAAAGCTCACAACAATTTGCATTATTACCAAATTTATACAAGAGTGTATATTACTTTGCTGTCTCCATTACAGTAATGAGAGTTAACACATTTTCAAGTATTTTCCAATTTAATGGGTGAAAAATGTCATATCCCTGCTGCTTTAATTTGCATTTAATTGGTGAGGTTAAACTTTGTTCCTTCACACATAAAGACGAATTTTATTTCAGATTTTATAAGTTTCCCGTCCATGTTCTTCTTCGATTTTTCTACTGGGTAATTATCTTTTTAAAAATTGATCCTTGAATGCTTTGCATACCTCTGGATTTTTAATTCTTTGTAATACATACTCCAAATATATTTCTCTGTTTTTAGTAAGTTTTAATTTTGTTTACTAGGTTTTATTTTGTTTTGTTTTTGTTTTTGACATGTAGATTTATGTATTGCAGTTAATCTACCATCTTTTTCTTTATGGTTTTGTCTCAAGGATTCTTAACTGTTTTTGCACCGTAGACCTCTCTGACAGGTTGGTGAAACCCACAGAGTGCTTCTCAGATTAATATTTTAAACACATAAAATAAATCATATAGGATTACAAAGAGAAACAATATAATAATATTGAAATCCAATTATCAAAATCATAAAAAAAGAAACTTGTAATATAGTAATATATGCATTTCTTTATTAACTCATTAGATAAAAAGACCTAGTGGCAGGTCTCATAACCACTGTGATCTTGAAATAGTGATGAATGTCAATGATATTTCTAGATACTAACTACTGTAATGTGATATGAAAACATATGCAATTCCTGTTGGTGACAAAGTCAGGTATTTGTTTTGCTGCCTACATTAATAGTAAAAAGAAATGCTACCAGAGATTAGTGAAAATAAAATTGTCATTCACTTTCCTCCCAGGTTCCTGGACCTCTGAATTCTTTCCATGGGCCCATGACAACAGGTCAGCGAACATCTGGAGGGACTGAGGAATATTACAAGATTACTAGAGGTAATCTTGTTCACTTTGCTGTCTTAGTCAGGATAATCCAAACATCTGGCAAAGGGTATTTTCTCTCTGTTTAGAATTTCTAGGTTGAAAAATTTACCATCTCTTATTTAAACCATGAATCTTATTTAACATTACTAGGAAGAACCTTAATCAAAGCTTCTACTGCAAACCATTTTTTTGTAAGTAGGTATAGGTATTGTTTATAATGAGATAGTATCAATAAACAGGTTGAAAAGTTATTTTTGTGGTTGTTCCATGATGTTAACTTGTGGTAATTATATCAACAACATATACTGATAAGTTGCTTATTAAATAAAAATAAGATCTGAGATGTGGTTTGAAAGTCAGAAAACTAATTTCTCTAGTAAAATAACTTTCCTTTGGTGGACACTTAGGAAGCAGTGGCCCACCTGCCTGCAGGGCATAAAACTGAAAGATGAGTCTGAGCAGAGTTTTCTGCTGCAGGTTATACCCTTTAATGAAGTCCTTTTGGAAGTGAAAGGCTGGTTAACTATGCTTAGCTAATTTGCCAACAACCATGGGACTAATCTTAGTCTTACCTTCTTTTGTACTTAATTATATCTCCCAGGTGTGTTTATTTCATCTCTCTAAATACTCTCTGGATATAGGGCTGAAAACTTCTACCTTCTCCCCAAAAGTTGTAGAAGACTGTCACTGTTTTGTAATTCTAATTCCCATGCATCCTGTTTTCCAAGCGATTCCTCATTGCTAGCCTCTGAAATTGATCGAAATCCTCCACATGCTTTGATAATATTAAACTCTTCCTTACGCGGAAAACTCTATGGGTAGTTCTAGAAGTGAATATTTGGGAGGGGCAGCAGATGAGACACCCAAATTTTATAGCAGTTAGTATCCTTTCTTGCATCAGCATTACCTGAAAGCTTGCTACAAATGCAAATTCTCGGTCCTCGCCCTAGACCTACTGAATTAGAAACCCTTGGGATGAGACCAGGCAACCTGTTTTATTAAGCCCTTAAGGTTATTCTCATGTCTGCTCAAGAATCACTGATCTAATACATTAGGGAAGAATTTCTTGAGTTACTGACTTCTGAAGTGATTGCTCAGAAGACTGTTTAGGAGACTGAAGGAGGAGGTGATGGTAGGCCCTGGGGACAGTGGAAGAGAAGGCATGGAGGCAGATGGGGGAAGGGAAGGGTGGCAGCTACTGTCCTTCCAGGAGCCGGGATCACGAGCTACGCCTGTGAGGACAGTGTTAGATGAACAATCCAGGCTGGGTTAAGAAGATGCCAGGAAACAGATGAACTCAACTCACTGGGTCACTGACAGAAGGTCACAGAGCATGGCAGTAGGCGAATGCAAATACCTCTAACACTAAACCTCACGGTGGCTCCCAGAACTCACAGAACGCTCACTCTATGACAGGCATCCTGCTGAGCAATCTAAGCGAATCATCTCGTGGCATCCTCACAAGAACGCTGGGAGAGAGATGCAAACGCTATCCACATCTGCAGCTGAGGAAATGGAGACACAGAGAGGCCATGTGCCCAAGACCACACAGCAAGTGACAGGGAGCTAGGATGGGAACCCTGCAGTCTGAAGCCAGCACCTGTGCTCTGATCACCACGGCATTCTGCCTTCCTGTTGTTCACAAATAGATGAAATGGGGAACATTCACACCCAGTGAAAAGGTCAGTCAAAAGTAGCCTGAGAGCATCTGTAAAGCCTTCAACAACAGTTCCTGGGAGGCGACTGGGGAGACAGCACACTCGTGCACCAGGCACAGTGCAAATATCTATTCCCATCAGTCCAAAGGGCCTTCTCATTTTGTGTCTAGCAAAGGGATATAAACTTTGCCTGCACTTCAGCAAGGCCACTACCATTCAAGTGAATCCTTTAGAAGCCAAGATATGTGGTTCATTTTTAAACTAATATAAATACCTATGCTCTAAAAATAGGTTAGGAAAGTATTCAGATGAAGTTCTGGTTGCACCATTCATACAAAATGGTGTAATTATGATGACAACAATTTATGGATAGGCTGCTTGTTAAATATATATATATATATAAGATCCAAAAGATTTGGTTTCAGAGACAGAACACTGATTTCTTCACTGACAGACCTATCTTCTCCTTTGAATCCTTAGGGAGCGGTGGCCAACCAGTCTGCAGGGTGTAACTGAGCAGCTGAGCAGTGGGATAAATGGAAACTATTATTCAACAAGATGTCCCTCCCTCATTTAGAAGTTTCTCACCAGGATTTTGACTCTTCTCAAGGCAGCCTTCCCATCTAGGTATAGGCTGATCACAAAGTGGGGTATACAAAGAATGAATACAACACATCACAAAAGATGACTCATTGCCAAGTCCCGCTCCCCAGGCTTCACCGGCTTGGGTAGTTTTGTGAGGGTTGCACCACTGGGCAAGGGGGTTTGGACACATTAGATGAGGAGCACTGTGCACCAGCTCTCATAAATTGGGGCACACTGATCACATTCTGCTGGCCTCTGATGCAGAGTTGGTGACTTCTAGAAGGGTTGGCAGAAATACTTCTGAGTGGTGGATTCTGAGGTGACAACTGAATCCCAACAGTGGTCGGTCTTTGACCCAGTAATAGAGGTTTAGGGAGGAGATGGCGAGGGAAGGGAGGAAGCCCCGCCCATTGTGCAGCTCAGAAAGGGTAATTTTTCCACCCCAGACAATTGGCACATGTTCCTCAGTTGTCGTTAGCATAGGACTAGACCTGTCTCCTGGTGTTGCGGTGGGTCTTTTAATCTTCCACAGCTCTTGAGGCTGCCCCGGACACCATAAAGGTTTCATGTGCCCCACTCTGCAGCCTTCGGTTCTTCCCCAGGAACTGGATAGAGGCTCAGGAAGGGATTCTCACCTGTTCCTGCGGGGGTGAGCGGAACTCCCTGGTCTTCCGGGCGGTCAGGGCTGCAGACATGTTCAGGGCCTGCATGAGCTCATTGTAGCGAAACTTCTGATTTGCCTGCAGCTTGGAGACATAAATGTCACCAAATGCCACAATGGCCTCCACTCGGTGCTGTAGCTCACAGTCACAGAGATAGCTGAGGAGCTCACACATCTGTAACAAAAGTACATATATATGCTTATATAACATTTTATGTACATTGGTGAAGCCGTTAGCATCCCCATTTTATAGATGGTAACATTGAGACTTAGACGATTAAAGTAACTTGTCCAGTGTCACACAACCGTAGAGCTATTACTTGAATCTAAGTTGGCCAGGGGGACAACAGGAAAATGAGCTCACTAAAGACAGAGTCAATGTGCTATGGAGAGAGAGAACAGCATTTCTAGGAAAATGTTTTCTCAAAAACCAGCACCAAATCAGCTTGGTCAGACGTGGTGCCAAGCATTTGCCATATTTATCTCCCTCAATCCTCAGGGTGTTCCTAAAATTTTTATTAAAGCAGAAGTTCTGTTAACCTGCTTCCACTTAGCCACTGATGTGATGAACAGGTGCTCTTCATCCATCTGGGCTGAGCGGAGGGCTCTAACCTAGCAGGACACCCTGGATGTGCACACCTCTGTTCCCACCACATGAACCAGGACCCCAATCTTAAGCTCGTCGTACCTGATTGTAACTACATCATTTAATCAGAAACTATGTAAGCCAATGAAATAAGAAAACTAAGCTGAAAAAAAAAAGGGCTGGCCCGGTGGCACACTGGAGAGTGCGCCGCTTGGGAGCGCGGTCGCGCTCCCGCCGAGGGTTCGGATCCCATGTGGAGACTGGTTCCCGCTCACTGGCTGAGCGCGGTGCGGGCGTGACACCGAGGGTTGCGATCCTGTTGCCAGTCCCCGGTACGGGCGCGACACCGAGGGTTGCGATCCCGTTACCGGTCAGTAAAAAAGACAAAAAGGAAAAAAAAAAAAAAAAAAAAAAATGAAAGACTAAAAAAACTCTTTAAAAGGCAAATTTTTTTTTTTTTTTTTTTTTTTTAAGTTCTAAAATTGGGTGTGAGATAACTACAAAAGACGGGAGAAAGTCTAGAAGCATTCCACAATCAGGATGCTTTCCAATAACCTCTACATCAAAGTCTACTTTAAAAACTCCCAAACTGGCAATTGTAGATGGTGTGTTACAGGAGTCACCTATGAAAAAGAAAGGACTCCACATGCCAGTCAAAGGACCACATTAAAGAAAAAGTCTTGGTGCTATATCAGTATAGCACATTTATACATTTTAATAAAATGTTTAAAATACATATGTAAAATTTGTTATGTTTCCTCTCTATACTCAACATTTTGATTAACTGACCACCCATTGCACTGGATAAGAGAACTTCTACTGCAGATTATTATAATACATCTTATGATAAACACTTTATATTGTATTTTATAAATATATATTTTAATATTATATTTTATTGTAGTGTCATTCCCATTCTACAAATAATAAAGCTAAGGCTCTGATTGGGTACTGACTTGGCAAGCTCAGACAGCTACTAAGCAGCTGAGGCGCAGGAATGCCTGACCCAGGCTCGCTCCACTGAGACAGACTATTCTGCTCCATTCATCTTTCTTTCTTTTTGCTCAGTGGCCCAGAAGACAAAAGTTATCATCCCCAGTGCATCATGGATGCTGTCTAACAACTGGAAAGCCTATGTTTTAGGCAGCACTGAGGATTCCTAGGTGGTGCCAAGGGGGCAGCTCTAAGGGCATGGCTGTCCTCAGCTTGATGGCAGTTATTTGAACAGTAACAGGTCCACATCGGCTTAAAGATCAGAGCCTGCACCCAATGAGAGCAGGTGAGGGGTGCAATGACCCTATGAGTCGGTTCCTTCAGTTGACTCCAGAGCCAAAGGCTCCCCACTCTCTAGACAGCTATCTCACAAATGAGCACTTGAGCCCCAAAGGGTAAGAGAAAAGATCATGGCAAACCCATCGCTGGAATCCGAAGAACAATTCTTAAGCATGTGCCTTATTGACATAGGTTACTATTTTCATTTTGGCTTGGGGAGACTTAGGGAGTGCATTCCACACCAGGACAAGCACCATCTACGAGCTCTTGTTCTGAGCATTTCTGCTGCCCAAAGTCCCAGCCTCACAACCAGGCTGCACTCTCTCCCTCCCAGGCCCTGTCTCAGGGCATGATCTTTGCTGCCTAGAGTTACCTGCAGCTTGACGGACTCAGGTAATCGGGTCTGCAACAAGCCTTTGACTGGAGCCTCCTTGCTGGCCTTCTCCCCAGCCTCCACTGCCTTCTCCTCCACCTGGGTTACTTCTTCCTTTTCTGCTCCCTCCTCTGTCTCCCCACTGTGCTCCCCAAACACAGAGGGATCGATCAGGAGGAGGATCTGCCGAACATCATCATCATCAAACACCCCCATGACCAGCAGGGTCCCAGTGAGTTTCAGCACAGGCACAAACTGGAACTCCACAGATCCCCCAACGGGGTCCCGGATGTGGGCCCCGCTGCACTGCACTGCCTCTGTCAGCATGCCCAGCGCCTTCGTCTTGAGAATCTCCAAGGGAATCTCGGGGCTTTGCTTCTGGTGCTCATCACTGGTCATGACAAAGCAAGGGGTGGAGAACCTGAACCCTGGCTTGAGGCATGTTCTGAGGCCCACCCCAGGCAGTCCGTGCCTCTTAGACTCGTCTGGGTACAGGCGGATATTCCTGGTGGTGCTGGTAATGGGGATGATGTACTCATTCTTCATCATCAGCTTCCTCTCCTTAGCATTGGCCAGGTGGATGCTGATGAGCAGGTCATAGAAACCAGATCGAAGGAGGCCAGGGAGGTACTTGTTGTCAATGGCATAGAAGAGCTGGGAGACGTCCACGTGGCTGCACAAGGCATAGGCTACTCGGCTGTTTCCCAGGGCGCACACGGCGCTGTAGAGCCTCAGCGTGTGATAATGGAACTGCATCAGGTCCTCCTGCTCACAGAGCTCCAAGATATCCACACACCTGAGGACAGGCAAGCAAGCAACCATGCCATAGAGAGAAGAATGTGCCAGAATTCAGCACAATCTCACTCTCTGAATAGCCAGGGATTTCACCTAGCCAACGAAGGCAGAGGGGGTAGAAGGATGGAGATCTCTGCCACACTTTCTCTTACTGGTTATCATTCATCTCTTGGCTCCAGTCCATATCCCAGATCTTGATGGTCCCCATCTAACTACAAGATTCTTAAAAACCTGCAAGACTTAAAAGACACTGGTTTACCGAATATGAAAGTCCTCTTTATGAGGAGGAAGATCTCCAAATCTTCAAACAGAAAAACGTTCAGGTATATGACAGAAGTGACTTGGCCCTCTATTTCCTGATGTAAAAGCCCCCCAGAAGATGGAGCTGAAGACCTCCAGCCCTCTACCATCTGCATCAGCTGTGTAATCTCCAATCTGCCACCATCCATGTGGCTTTCCCTCCCCTGAAAACAAACACACCTGCATTCCTGTCCAGAGAGGAAACACTTTCCAACTGAGATCAGTTGGCATAATCCAAAGCACTTTTTCCTTCCTGACTTCAGAGTCTATTCGTCTGTGTGTTGCTCCCTTGTTTGCGTGAGTCCAGGGCATGGGCTCTGATCTCTGCTTAAATTTTCCATTTTGTTCTTACTCCTTATCATGGATCTAAGGACCCTTTGGCATTGGCTTACTTGGCAGGGCTCCTGGTCTTTCCTGAAGCTTCCCTGCACCAGCCTGTCCTGCTGCTGCCGGTGATCCAATGGGACACCTAAATGGGAGCTATGCAGATGTCAAATAATGTAGCTGCACCCTCTCCCCATTACTCTACTACTCAAAGAGATCAGGGGATAATAACCCCAACAATAAGATTTATTTAATTCTTACTACATACAGAAACTGTATTAGATATTATCTACACAATCTAATTTTTTTTCCTCAGTAAACCTTTGGGTGGGCATTTCTCTCACCATATAGATGAGGCCACCAAGGCTCAGAGGACATAAGTAACTTACCCAAGGCCACACAGCCAGAAAGAGATAGCACAGGGATTGAGTCTGGGCCATAATTTGACTACCTCTTCACACTGAGAGAACAGGAGCCCATTCTTGGTTCTCTGAATTAAGTGAGGCATGCCTCATTCTTCCCCTTCTCATCATAAATGATGTATATTTCAGGGTCACTTGATTTTTAATTAAAGGTACAGAAATGTTTCCTGACCCCAGACACTAGGAGCTACAACAAAGGCCCTGTGGCAGGTACATTATAGTGCATTTCCTGCTGTTTGTGTGAATAATGAAAGTGGGGAAGAAAAAGAATAGAAATGGAGGTGCTGGGGAGATCCACAGTCATCTTGGGACTGCTCACTCGAGTTCCCTCCTGGCTCGCTTGGCCCTGCCTCCCCCACCTCCCAGGCCTGCCCATTCCTCTGGGGCCCCCCCAGCACCTGTTCTCCTCGGGGATGTGGAGCGCCATCATCTGCAGGGGCTCCAGACACTGCACCGCCCAGCCATGGCGCTCGCTCACCCGTTCTGTCTCCACCTTCAGGAAGCTGCTGGGCATGCGGCTCCAGAGCACGGGCTGGATGGTCTGGACGTCCAGCCGAGGCGGACACTGCGGAACTGGGTTCTTCTCTTCACTTTTAAATATGGCCGCCGACAAGGGCATTGCATTCTGGAGCAAGGTGGGAAGAAACACACGTGCGATATGGAGAGTCTAGGTTGCTGGATAATGCGCCCAGCCCATGATAACCAACAGGGTTAGTATTAATTAAAGAGAGACAAATGTATCCAGGGGAACTCTAAAGGCTTTCCAAGCATTAATTAGGACCTTGAGTAATGGGATGTATAAGCATTAGTTAATTCTTTCAGCATCCAAAAGAGGTGGGAGAAGGAGAAAATAAGAATGCATGTTCTGTCATCTGAATTTCAAAGGCAAAATGTAGGGACCTGGGCAGGGGGTGGTATATGAGAAGCAATAAGGCTTCTCCTGTTTCCTGAGGCCTGGGATTTTCTCCCTAATGGCCATTGCTGTCTTCGCTTGTCTTCACCATTAGATGAGGGGACAGATAAATACCTTCAGCTTCCCAAGTTCAAACTGAAACAAAGAAGTACTTGTAGGCTGCAGGAAGACTGCTGGAAACACTTTGGTATTGGGCTCCACCTGGAAACCAAAACAAATCAAGAGGTTTGCATAGAGCTATAAAGTCACAGCTTGCTAAGCCATTGGGCATTTTAGTCAACGCTTTCATTCTCAGCTGAAAGAGGATGGGCAGTCATTTCCACTGCTCAGACATTTTCAGACCTGGAGTCTATTAGTGGAGATCGTCACCGCACCCCACCTTAAATACTCTCTACGTGGGGCTGAACAATCTCAGGTCTTTTCATTTAGCCAGTAGCTTCTCCAGTGTTCAGGACAGTGCTAGGCAAGAAGCTAGTGACTCACCACTAGGGGCAATGCTATAAGGTCACGAGAAGCATGACGTGCTTGCTCTTCACAGAGCACACTGGCATGTGGGCAGCACCGTCGTTCAGCATGCCTGCCCACAGGAGATGATAATGGAAGGTGGGCAGTGACTTGGGATTATCTCTGACGGCAGATCAACATTGGTCAGGCAAGCCCAGGGAGATTCTATGGCAGGGTTTCTTCACCTTGGCACTACCAACATTTTTTTTTTTTTCCTTTTTTGTCTTTTTTCGTGTCCGGCAACGGATCGCAACCCTCAGTGTCGCGCCCGTACCGGACTGGACCGGCAACAGGATCGCAACCCTCGGTGCTGCGCCCGCACCTCGCTCAGCCAGTGAGCGGGAACCGGTCTATATGTGGGATCTGAACCCTCGGCGGGAGCACCGCCGCACTCCCAAGCGGCGCACTGTAGCAGTGCGCCACCGGGCCGGCCCTGCACTACCAACATTTTAAGCTGGTAACTTTTTATTGAGGGAGCTGTCCCCTGCATTGCAGAATACTGAGTGGCATCCCTGCCCTCTGCCCACTACATGTGAGTATCACTCTCACCCCCACCACAGTTATGACAACCCGCAGGTCTCCAGACATTGCCAAATGTCCCATGGGGGGCAATGCAGCCCCAGTGGAGAACTGCTGCTCTGCAGGAAAAATCTGAGGTACTTCACTGGCATGAGGAAAGAGGCTGTCTTCCCCCAAAGCCTCTCCTTTCCCTGGTTTCCTCTGGACTTTTCTCCACTCCCCTCTCACTATAATTACAGTTCTTATGTCAAAGAGTTTAGAATTCCCTAAGTGTCTTCTAGCTGCCACTCAGACGAGGCACGTGGATTTACTGACTCATGACACCAGGGTCTTCACTTATTGCTTGCTCACTCTGATGCAGAAGCAGACCTAGAGCAGCTTCTGCATTCCCTATGCTGCGCTGTTTCTAAGGGAAGGCTGGAGACATGGAAGAAGACATGGAGTCTACTCACAGGCTGGGACTTTGATTTCACCAACTGGCTCTCTCTGTCTTTAAGCAAATGCAGACATTAGGAAATTCCTGCAAATCTCCCCTCCTACAAATTAGGGGATGGTGAGTGTATTGGGTATACCCTAAGGCGGCCCCAATGAGTCATCCCACTGTATAATCTCCTCCCCTAGAACTCATGTCTTGTTCTAGCAAATAGAATATGGCAAAGGTGAGGGGACTGTCACTCCCTTGATTAGGTTATATGAGACTCCATCTCAGCAGCCTAGAAAGATTCTCCCACTAGCCTTGGAGAGGTAAGCTGCTGTGTGGTAAGAGGACTTGTGGGGAGGCCACATGACAAGAAGTTCCAGTGGGTGACAAGGACTGACAGCAACCCCTGGCTTCAGTCATCATGAAAATGGGACCTCAGTTCTACACACTCAAGCAACTGAATCCTGCCAACAATCATGTGAGCTTGGAAGAGGAGCCTGAGCTCCAGAAAAGAATGCTGCCTGGCTGATGCCTTGACTGCAGCCTTGTGAGACCCTGAGCAGAGGACCCAGTTAAGCCATGCCCAGACTCCTGACCCATGGTAACAGTGAGATAATAAATGTATGTTATTTTAAGCTACCAAGTTAGTGGTAATTTTTTCGTACGGCATTGGAAAATGAATACGGTGAGTTATCTTTTTGTTAGAGTATTTACTATAGGCTCCCTTTACATAATGAACTTCCCCAATGCACCTAGACATATGACTTATAAAAAAATATTTTTATGGCTGTAAGTGACTTAAAAGATTGCATGGTCCAGTGCTGTCATTTCCTCATGACGAAACAGGCTAGACTGGTTAAAGCCCAGGCTTGTGCTTAGCACATGGCCATTCTAGCACACGCAGTGGGCTCATGTTGCAGGTACAAACAACTGGTTTGTACCTGATGTTTCAGGTACCCATATGTTACAGAAAGGGTTAGTTGCCCGTAAAACCAAAATGTGGGGGTGGACTGCTAGAATACCTGGCTATGCCTGAGAGAAGCGCTGTAAAGGACATCCAACAAATAATTATCTAGTACTTGTCATATGCCTGCTTTGTGCTAGATCCTGGGTTTACATAAGACCCATAAGGCAGGGGCTGTCCCTAGACTGTCCCCTAGAATTCTCAAATACTCAATGTGTGATGTTTAGAACAACTTCAAATCATTGCAGCCTTAAGTAAGCAGAGAGCTCTGGTGGCTGGGAAAACTTCATGTGGACCATCAGGAAACCCATGAGTCTGTGCAAACAGGAAGAGATAAATGCATTCATCTGGAGGCTTCTGATGCTGACCTAAATCACACAGGTATTGGGAAGGTGGTATGTCAGGTCCCTCAGGACTTGTTCCTGCAAACTTCATAAACTGCCCAGCCAAACTACAGGGCCCTCCTCAAAACTCCCTGAAGAGAGCAGGTGCTTTGAAAGCATTTAGGATGTCCTGGGATAAGTTTATATTTACCATGCAGAGTACACCCCACCATGATGAACAATCAAAATTTCTGTTCAGTCACTAAAATGAGAAGAAAACACAAGTGCGGGCTCATGAGGGTGTACACAAGGAAAAAAACGGCATTAGTGGTATGGTAAGCAGAATTCTAGAAGGCCCTCAGGACCCCAGCTGCTACTCCTGTATAATGTCCTGTTGGCTTTGAAGATGGATGGGGCCATGTGAAAAGGAATGTGGGCACCCTCCGGGAGCAGAGAGAGGCCCCAGCTGATGGCCAGCAAGGAAACAGGGACCTCAGAACCTCAGACCTACGACCATGGAGTGGATACTGCCCATGGCTTGAACGAGCTGGGAAGCGGATTCTTCCCAGAGCCTCCAGAGAAGAGCCTGGCTTGGCCCAGCGGACACCTTGATTTTGGCTTTGTGAGAACTTGAGCACACAGTCAAGCCTGCAGAACTGTGAAATAATAAATGTAAGTTGTTTTGAGGGACTAATTTTGCGGCAACTTGTTAGGCAGCAGTAAAAAACAAATACAAGTGATTTCCCAGCCAAGTCAGTTAGCCTGATAAATACTTGTCCAGCACTCACTAGGTGCCGGGCATTGCTCCACACACTGGGGATGCAGCAGCCAAGAGAGGAGATGGCCCTGTCCCAAAGGAGCTGACCTGCTAGGCGAGCAGCTTACATTCTAACAGGGACGCGCAGCGAGCCTGGATTTGGAGCTGCTGTGACATTTCTTCTTTTGTATTTAAGGAAACTTTTATCACGGGCTGTTCTGTTTTGTCCTTGTAATAATAGACATTCTGTTTCTAACCATGTGTGAAGGTCGGGGCACACAAACTGGCCTAAATTGAAAGCTAACCCCTCTCGTAAATCTGATGGCTGGCTCTGCCCTCAGAGCCTTGTGGCTGGCGTGGCAATCACTGAGGAGTAGCTCTTGATTGTACATTTTATTTCTCATTTTTCCACTGATTATATTAAGTGGGACAAAAAAATGTTTTCAAATTGCATAGCACTATTTAATAGGGAGGTCTAGCAACATTGTTTGAGAGAATCCTTTTCTCATTATTTTGGTTACTAGTCCTTTCTGGATAGGGAGTCAGTGTATAAATATTGCTGGCCTGTTCCTCTTGAGATAATTGAAAAATGAAAGTGGCTACAGCTGCAGAATAACAATTATCCCACTGCCAGGGACCAGCCGCACAGCTGGACATGTTACTCTCTTGCCTGGGATGAGAGGGAGGCTGATGGCAGTGAGCCGCCCATGGGTTTCAGGACGGAGCCCTGACACTCTCCCGATCACAGCAACATTCCTTAGGATGGGAGTCAGGACTGGAACCACTGAGCAAAGGAATCAGGATTTCTATGCAGGGAGTAGAAGGCGGCACTTCGAGTGGTAGGTGTCAACCCCCAGCTCAGAGATGACAGCTGAGCAGCCCAATGTCACCCAGGAACTACTGTGAAAGACAGGATAAAACTGCCACAATGTTCTCTTGGTTGCAACACCTCCCCAACACCATGGGCTTGGCCCTGAGGCAGGCAAGTCACTGCTACAGTGAATGCCATTTTCTTTTTTAAATTAATTTTTTTGGACCTCCAGAGCCCAACCGGCCTTAAAAGTTATTAGGTACTTTAGAGTTTTCTGTAGCTCAGGGAGGACCCTTCAGTTAAACTCATTTCAAAAGTTAATGGGAAAAAGCTAATGGATTCTGAAGGACGGCAGTAATGTATATAAAACATTTTCTCAGGGGATTTGGGGATGGAGGAGGCAGAATCATGAGGAAGTACTAGAAGAATAATACTCTGCCTTCTGCCTCAAAGCCTGGCTTCGCAAATGCCTCTTTCTGGAAATGGCCAGTTGGGCCCCAGCTGCCGGACCACGCTTGCCAAGTGTTATTGATGATTCTGCTTTTTCTCAGGAGGAGGAGGTGCAGGGAGTGTCACACACTGCAGAGGGTACTGGAGAGACAAGGTAGCTGCCAGCAGGCTGTTCCGGCCTCGGGAAGGGTTTGGCCCATCTGTTCTGGATCAATGAACACTTCAGATCTGGCATGGCTTCTCTGTCTGCTCCCCACCTGACTCCTTCTGTCCAACCACAGGCCAGAAAACTGGATGCTCAGAGGTGCTTCAGCCTGGAAGATGGAGACTGGGACTGACTGAAGAATCAGGGGGTTCAGCCATTTACATAATATCGGATGTTTTTTATCTGCTGTATAAACAGTTAGCTAAGCTGCTGACCCCTGGAAGACTGCTGGCTTCCTTAAACACTGCATGTCATTCTCCTGCTCAGAAACTGTCGCTGGCTCCCCATTTCCTATCTCTGCCTCCCTACCTTCCCAGACGGATCTCAAATGCTTCTTGTGTCATTTGTTCAACTTAGAACAGTCCTCTCTTTCTACCTGGAAGAATTTTTATTTTTCTTCAAAATCAAGATTTCTCCTTAATGAACATTTTCCCGACCACCCTAGATGGGAGTGAGCTCTTGTTTCTCTGACCTTGTGTAACACTCTCTGTCTACACATACACATGACTCTCTGTTCTACCCTTGGGGTGTCAAGGATGTTTAATACAGAAATTTAATTCCTTGATTTAGTATTTCCTATGGTAAGCTCTGTGCATTTCTAGGTTCACATAATATCAGTAATGTTTAAAGTTTAAAAAATGCTTTTTTTGGTCAAATAACTTGAGAAATGTGTGGCTAGATAAGTTTCTTTCTAAAATATCTGTCAAAGTTTTTACACTCATTGTAAAATTTCAAGAGGAAGATGTAAGACGTGGCATTTCCCAGCCTGCTGGCCATCAAGGACGAAGAGATCAGTTTCTTGTGGTTAATGACAGGTAAACCCACATGTGTATAATTGATGGTTTTCCTGAGTAGTTCCACAGAAGTTCAGAGTCCATGAGATAGTGAAACACAATTTATATAGATACATTTTTAAAGGATCCTGTAAGATATCCATAGGGAATGCGAATAAACTTTTTGCAAAGGGACTACTCCTTGGTAAGTTAGTTTTCACAGGTTTCTATTTTAAGTATAGAAGTTTCTTAAAGTGAGAGTATTTCTGTTCACTTTTTAAACCCCTCATCTTGTGGAGTGCAGATAACATAAAGGCTGCACGAGAAATATTTATGACATTAATAAATAACCTTTTAGAGCTCGTTGCCAAGGAAAAGCCTTTCCATCATCTAGAAAGATGACCAGCATATCTGATCAAGCAATAAATATGATTTTTTAACTTTTTTTTTTTCCTCTGCATAAAATGAAGTCACTTTGTTGTTGTTGGTTTATTGTCCAAAATGGCTCATGGACCAGGAGTGCTCATCAACTCGACACGCTGTGGTGGGGCTGCTGAGTGTGGAGGAGGAGGAGGAGGAGGACATGTCTGCAAGCACCAGGCCTAGGACACCAGTGGTTGGCCCCCGTTGCCACCCCTACCTGGTAGCAGGTGCCCAGTTCTTTCCCATTGGCTGAGAAGGACAACATGCCCATCGCCAGGTCCACGAGGCAGCCGATCTCCAGGTCCACGTTGCTCCGACTTGATCTTTGGGAGCTGGCCACAATGTCCCCACCCCAGACCATGTAGCAGTTGCTGCGTTTCACGCTAGGAGTCAAAGAGAAAGGAAAAGGCACAGAATCTGGACTGGGGCTGTTTGTAATCAAGACTCAAGCATGAAATGCCTTCTGATGAAAAACCTTCTCATAAAGCTTTCTGATCAGCCCCAAATAATTTGTTTTTAAATGAATTCATTCAGCTTCAACCCAATTTACTCAGTCATGAATTACTCAGTTTAGGGATGTGGTAATCTTTTAGGCTACCTCCTTCCAAAGAGCACAATGTTCAGATAACTGTTTCTGACTCAATGTCAATTCACCTTTGTGAAACAGATAATGGGGTTGGTAGTAGTCCCACCTCAGAGATGGGAAATTGAGGCACAGAGAGCAAACTTATAGCATTGGGATTTGGTATAAGAGGCAGAAACAAAAATCTGGGCTCAGGGTCCCAGTCTAGTATCAAGGGCAAAAGGCTATAAGCACTTGAAAACTCAGGCCCACATTCCTAGGATGGCAGGTAAAGTTTGTCTCTGATGCCCTCCCACCTCCCTGACCAACACTACCCTGTCTTTCCAGTCCCTGGAGTTCTGCTTCCTGCACTGTTGGCTAACCACCAGTTTGGGTGCCTTTCCCAGTTAGCTGTCTCCCAATCTCCAGAATGCAGAACTATGTTATAGGCACTTACACTTAAAAACAAGCCATAATAACCCAAATGCCTTCAAGGCTCCAAGCCCTGATTACTTAATTGTAGGATTTCATATGCTGGGTGAGTTTCAGAGAAGATGCACCATGGCAGAAGTGTCCCAGCACCCCTCATGATGAGTGATGGGCAAGGGGCAGCCAATTCTGTCTCCTCCTAAGCCCACCCTGGGTTCCCATCATCTAAGGGAACCTGGTCCCTTGTGATTTTTCTCAGGTTAAATGAGAGAGTGACTCTATATCTGATGCAAGGGAAGCCTCTTTAAACATCCCAAGGTCAATCTGACATGACGCAGCAACTTGGTTTCCTGTTGCGTGGAGGACCGAGCCACTCCAGGGGCAGGGAGAGGGCATTCAGCCATGTGTCACAGACAGCACCTGGAACAAACTATAAACTCTGAGGGCTGCTGTACCTCTCTGAACTGTACTCTCATTTGGAAAGCCAAGAGTTTAATTAGAATTCTCTAAGGTTCCTTCTGGCTGTAGAAGTCCATCACTTTCCTCTGTGAGTAAAATCCCCTTGCAAGCATACAGTCTTCTCCTCTGGGGCAGCAAAGGGACTCATATGAATACCCTCATATGAATACCTCATATTCTCATACGAATACCCTCAGGTACAAGCCAATGCAAATTGCCTCTTCCAAAGAGTTATAGCCATTGTTAGATTTCCATAAAGGTTAAACTGCACCCATGTTATCACTGATTTTTAGTGATTACAGTACTGTATACATTGATGACTAAGACAGAATTCAATTAACAATGTACTGAAGCTGTGGGAATGTAAAGCGGCAGGCTTTGGTCATATTTTAAAGGGCCCAAATTCAAAATGCCCTAACATATCTGAAAATCGATTCTGTATTCATTTCTCATATAGGACAAAGAACTAAGAATTATTGAGCACCTACATGTACTGGGTCTTATCCTAGGTGCTAAAACGCCAGTTAATTTTCACAATAAATGTGGTTGCTGAGGCTAAGAAAAATCAAGTAATTTGGTGTGGCAGAGCCAGCAAACCAGAGCAATAAACCCAAGTGGGATGGACATTTCTGCCTTTTCTTCTTCTGGCTAAAAATAAAGCTTGGATTGGTCAGTTGCTTTTGTATACTTTCCCTTCTAGCCTAAACCAGTTGTTGCTTCTAACATATTTTCTGCCTCTTGTAACATGATGGACATTCAATAATGGCAATAATAATAATAATAATAATAATAATAATAATAATAATAATAATTAAGTTCTTAAGTCAAGGCACTGCCCTAACCATTTTTCTATGAATTAACTCAATCCTCACAACACTCTATGAGATTGAAACTATTTTATTCATATTATAGATGAGGAAATTGAGGCCTAGGGTGGTTAAGTGACTGGTCCAAGGTCACACCCCTAGTAAGTATTGGAACTTAGTTTAAAACCCAGGCAGTTTGCCTCCAGAGCCTATGCTCTTAACCACCTGCCCACACAAGCATAGTGACTGCAACTCACCTCTGGCCATTAGTCTTTGATGAGCCAGTATTATCTAAAGGGCACTGATTACAAGCTGTTCCTGACTTTGTATGTAGTAAAGGCCAACCTGAGAAATAACGTATTACAATTCTATACGTGGCTATATAGGGAAAAGATGCTCTGATACCTCATATAGGTGGGAAACACAGATGGACACCATAAGTCACCTCTGGGGCACATCCTTCTCTGGCAGCAGTACCAGCAGACCAGTGGGAGGGTATGGGTGTGCCTAAAACATGTTTTCCCTGAAGATCCCTAATTCCTATTCAGTAGTTATTATTCATGAACTTTCTATGTCTCCTTTATATTCCTTATGCTCTCAGGTGTTACAAACTCTTGGGATGAGGAGTTCTGAGTTTATCAGCTGGTGTGTGATGCCATATATCTTTTTATTTCTTCTGAAGTGACTTCTGTCAAGCACCCAGGGATTTTCTCTGTCTTGTTTTGATGTTGTAGAAATTGGGGCTTGTGCAGAAATCAAAGAGAAAATAGAGACCCCAACTGTCTATCTGAATGTCCCATGCCTAGGTTATAATTGATATATATGATGAAATTTACCCTCTGTGTCCACTAACACTCCTTCCCACTGTCATGGCATTCCCCTTCCCTCCTCCCCACAGTTTGCTTGACGATTTTAAGCCTGGGCTTCATTTTCCCCTCTTAAGAGAGACTGGGATATTTCCTTCTTTTGGGGTGAGGGGTGGGCTGGAAGGGAAAAGCTGCCGGGTGGGGAGGGGCTGAGGAACTCGATGGTCAATGCTGCTAATTGGGAGCCCCTTACCTTTCATGGACCCGGCCTCTCTCATCCCCCAGGGTGACAGTCACCATACAGTTTTTATTCAGGTCAAACTTTTCACTGTACAAGTGATAGTCTGGGGTCACCCATCCGACCCAGACGCAGGAGGGGTCCTGTCCGGCAAAGATGCGGATGGCGTAGTAGCACTGCTGTGGAGAGACCACAGAGGGGAGTGAGTGGCCCCCGCCTGGGGGTAGGGGCTCAAGAGGCAGGAATAACAGAGCGGCCCACTTGGCCCTTCTTTCTGAAAGAGCACACACTGTTGTACAGGTGTCCTACCCTAGACCTGGAAGGAGGGCTGGATAGAGACTCTGGCTTCCTAACTTTTCCCCTTTCTGTTTTGCTTTAGCTCCTGATGAAGAGAGCACTTAATCCACTACACTTTGCCCTGAAGATGCTGTTGATGGAATCAGGGGCAGCTGCTCAGAAGGGTCAGCACAGAACCTGAACCCTCCCCTGGGCACCAGGTGGACCTGGCTGAGGGGAACCAGGCACAGCCCTTGTCCTCAGAAAGAGAGCAGTCAAGGGTCAGGGCGCTTCTGTTATACTTTGTACTTCTCCAGGGAGGCCCGATCTTTTTTTTTGGCAAAGTCTTGAAAAAGAGGCTGCAAAAGAAAAAGCCCATATTGTGGCCAAAGTGCTTTGTGTGGCTGTCACCCCAACCACATGCAGTGCTGAGAAGTACCGTAGGTCTTAGCAGGGCTCATATGATCTGTGAGGTGTATTACTAAGTTATGATAAAAGCTACAGCAAAGGAAGGTGACTACACGTCATCATTTTCTTAAAGTAGGCTGATTTTTTCTTAATGAAGTGGCTCTTATTTGTAGTCTATCAAATTTTCTTGATTGGAAGAAAAAAGGGTCAGCCAGACAAACCTGGGCTTGGATCTTGGCACTGTCAGTTATGCATTGTGTGACCGTGGACAAGTCACTTGTCTTGTGTATAACAGTGGGCATAATATTGTCCATCTTACTGGGTTGTTGATTAAATTAATTTTAAATGAATTAAATGGAGTTTATATGGCAAGTACAAACTTGACAGTGCCCTGCACATACCAAGTGTGATGTGCTACAGCAAGAATCTTACTGCTGATGAGGGTTAACCTACCGACTCAGGACTACGGCCTAACTTATGGAAGGGTCGACATGCATTTCTTCCATAGACATGTTTTTTGACATTCTTGCCTCAGAAGTGTCGCTTTCTGACTACCATCTAGCTATGGTAAAGGCACCAGAGTAGCTTCCATCTTCTGGGCTGGCTTCCTGCTCCTGCTTCTCATTTGACTGCTTTCAACATTACTCCCTGCACTGCACAGAGACATGGGGGAGCTGACTCATGGTAGTTTACACAAAAGAGCAAACAAAAGGATTCAATTGAGACCCTCCAGCTGATTCTCATTTCAATGAGAAGGGCAGTGCTGGATCCCTGGGGGCAAACGGGCAACAAGTGACACAATGAGGCCCAGTTAGGGGCTCCAGGTGGAGTTTCTGCTTTGCACGGGGTACCTGTCTTTCTTTTCCCCATTTGAGAAATGCCACTGATGTGTTTTGGAAACATCAAGATGGATATTAAAAGACAAAGTAATTGGCAATTAAAGAGGATCTCTAGGCAGATCTTCACTGTAAGGGGCATATTACCAAGCACAGTAAAGAATCAAATCATTAAAACCACAATTGAGCACATTTACTTACTGTTGTTGTATGAGAGAGTATTTCTTGCATCTGTTTCCTGGGGGGAAGATAATCCATGTTTCAGTTACGCAGCTGTGTAGAGAATCCCCAGTTCTGACAGGCAATTGATCTACCTTTAATGGTCAACACAAGTTTAGGAAACTGGCTCTTTCCTTAATACCAGTGATTTCAACTGGTCTTGGGACTTGTTCTTTTGTAAGCTGCTACCACAAGGCAGGGCTGTGACTTCCAACACTTGCTCCTCAGCCCAGATGGCAAGTTAAAGCTGAGAGGGGACATGGGGAAAGTTCAATAATAGCAGGGATACCTCTGAGTAGGTTATCCTGTTCTCTCCAGCAACTATGCTTGTTCAAAAGCTTGACAGATAGTGAAACTCTAGAGGACACCTGGACATGACAGCTCCAGACGGCAGACATACGTCAGTAATTACAAACAGAGACCAGAGGAAAGAAAGACGGCAAGGAATATAAATGTCTTCTCAAGAAGGAAGAAATCACATTACTCATGAGTCACCCAGCTGAAGGGTTGGACAAGGCCCTCAGTTACGCAAAGAACACAGTATCTGCTTCAAGAAACTTCTAATTTCACATAAAAGCAACAATTGCTCCCTCTCATGCACTTGCATTCCTTTTACTCCAAAAACACAGGAAATGTAGGCAGCAAGGAAGTCAAAGAGCTCAAGGAGAGCAGAACCCTTTCCGCCAGACATGAGTCTGTTTAGTTTGATTGGTCCCTTCGTTATTCACTGTGCAAACACACATGCATTTGTACGCACATGTGTGCACACACATCCTTCTTTCCATACCTGACTAAAAGCAGAGAGAATCCTATCCACGGAGTTCCTGGTTGTGCCGAGGCAGAGAGAAAAGCAGAAAGCCAACCATACAGCAGACACAAGGAGTGCCTCCGAGAGCTGGCGGCCCCACCCTCACCTTTTCTGGAAAGCATCACTGTCCAGACAGGGGCTGTGGCTGAAGGAGGAGTGGCACTCGACGGGCATGCTCAGGCGGCAGTAGATCATGCTGGCATTGCTATTCTGTGTGCCAAACGTCTTGTGCACCACCTTGAGGCACGGAGGGCTGTCCATGGTACCATCAATCCTCACAACCTAGAAACACCATAAGTCCTTACTCTCTCATACTGGAGGGCCTGACCTTGACCCTGTCTCTCCTTCTCTCACTTACATACGTAACACACAGCAAGGCATTGTCACCAGTGATAACCAAACTATGATTCTCATCATTACTTGGATCCTGTCCTATAGAAAATAATAGATCTTCTCCTGGCTGGAGAAAGGAGAGTTTTAAGAACATGCCCAGTGGGTTCTCCACAAGGCCAAGGGTGCAGAATAAATGCCAGAGAGTGGGGCAGTATCTGGGTGATGCAGCATGGAGTACACAGAGGCTGACCTTTTAGGTTAGGAGGCAAGTGGCTAAAGAAGAAATTTTTCCAAAGGTTTTGCTTGTCACTGGCATGAGAACATCCTGGGGAAAAGACATCAGAAAGCGCAAGAAGCTCAGGAAGAGATGTCCGTGCTTCTATGGAGGGTGTCTCCTCCACCCAGTCCAGTTTCCTGTCTCTGCCACAGTCAGGCTGGGGGCTGAGGCTCTTCTAACTACTGGGGAAACTCAGGGTACAAGCATCACAGGGGATGGAGTTGAGGAAGGAAAGATCAAAACTGGATTTTTGGAACATGTGTGTGGGTGGGGGCAGAGAAAGTAAACTGAGACTTATAATGATAATTTTCTTATAATCTGAGCCTCTCCCCTGCTCTCTAGAGAACAGTTCTTATCCTGGGGTCTGCGAGCATGTGTAAATATTTGTGTATGGCTTGTATATTTTTCTAAGTAGAGGGCCTCTTAGAAAAACATAAGTTTTGCAGAGGGGTTCATGATCTCCAAACATGTGAGAGCCACCTTTCTAAAGTAATGGCCAGAGAGCAATCAGAGAAATAAAAGTCTCTTCTTTTTAAGACTGTAGGGAAAATGGGGTGTTAAGAGCCGATGCCTGCTGAGCTCAGACTGGAGTGCGAGGGAAGGGAATTTACAGTCAGGGGAGCAAGTCACTGCACCCACCTGATGAGTGCAGCCAGGGAGTGGCTTGTCCGGCTTCCCATCAGCACTCTCCTCCCCGCTACCAGGAAAAACCCTGGTGGGAGTGGGTGGAACACAGGCAGGGAGATGTGGGACCAGAACCTACATTAGGCTCCTCTCAGCTCCTTTAGAAGGTGGGAGTGTCATAACCAACTCCCACACCTCAGCTTTAAATCCTGGAAATGGCACTATAGAAATTAACTGGGGTCTAAAAAACATCAAGTTATAAGTATAGAAAAAACATATACGTTCAGGACATAAAACTGATTACAGGTATTGAACTTTTTAAAGAAAGCAACATTTAAGGTCTCTGGATACCATATTACTGTGACAATACCAGAATAGGAATGTCAGGAGATGACCCAGTGGCCCCAAGGCTTGGGGATCTATCTGCAAAGAGAGTATGACAAGGTTGTTGTCTCTTGTAAGATGCCACTAAGTTGTCCCTATTAAGGCTCCTGCACTATAGTGCCAAGGGCCAGAGGAGAGGGGCTGGTAAGTGGCCGGGTCATGCACTCAGGTAGCAGCTGCATGCTGACAGGAGAATTAGTCTTGGCCCCCCTGCCCTGTTAGGGACCCCCACGATGTGTAATGCTACCTCTATGTGTGGGTGATCCTTTGGCACATTGACAAATGTCGGCAGGCGCTTGCTGAACCACATTGCGACATCTCGGTTCATGTTGACAGCGAAAGGTTCAAAGCCTTCTTGGAGGCCACACATGGTATAAAACTTGAAGGTACTGGCATCTGTCCCGAGGTTCATGCGGCCGATCTGAGACAGCCCCAGACAGCAGATGGGCACGAAGCCTGCAGAACAGGTAAAGAGAGCCCTGCTTCAGCCTGTAGGTCCCATCCCAGGAGGCTGTCAGGAATCCTCAGGGCTTTGATCCCAGCAGGAAAGATGGGACACAACCCTCTGTCTTTCTTCCTGGCACATAAGATCAACAACAGGAGGCTGCATGGACACTACCACTGCCCTTGGCCGATGGGGAAGGAAAGTGAGTTGGGGTCAAGACAATTTGGGAAAAACAATCACCCAGCTAAGATTATTCTTAAGCTGTAAATAAATATCAGCTGGAAAAATAAAACCAATAGAAAGAAAAAGGGAAATTCTTTACCTATGCCTTAGTTAAAATTGATCTTATGCCCTGAGAAATTTGAAATCTTACCAAAACCAAAACAACACAACAAGCTTAAAGAATGACTTGGTGAGCAGATTTTGCCACACACAAAAAAAGAGGGGTAACTGTGAGATCATTAATATGTTCATTTGCTTTACTATTGTGATCTTTTTTACTATCTATATGTATCCTATAACATCATGTTGTATACCTTAAATATACAATAAAATTTATTTTTTTAAAAAAGAATGATTTGTTGCAAAATTGCTTAACTTTCCTGGGCCTTGGCCTCTTCACCAGTGAAATGAGATGCCCAGTGGTCCTTTACCTTTTGAGAGTACAATACTAAGACATTTAACTGCTAGCACCATGACTCCGCTCGTTTGCTAAATACAACTTGCAAACTCCCATCTTCCTAGCCCACTGTCCTCTCCATCACCCGCACAGGAAGGTGAGAGTTTCAGGAAGGAGTCAGAGAAAACTCTTTTCCTTCCTACAACTATTGCTTCTCCAGCTCACTTCTGTATCCTGATTGTATGTAATAATTGCCAGTCGGAACAGACCAAAGCAGAAGTGCAAGTTGTCTGGTGTTCTTGTTTGTGTGCTATTTATAAATCATAATTGTAGAGCAACAAATCAGCAAAGCAAGGAAAGCGCTAATTATCTAGGATTTGGGAGGCAGGCAGTTGTAAGAGCTCTGAGGCCGCTGGCTGCAGCAGAGGTTGGAGCTCCCCAAAGAAAACTGGTGTCACTCCTAGGATAGGAGTACTCAATCCAGGGGAAATTTACAGGCCAATTTTGGGAGCATTTACATTCAACACTAAGAACTTTCTTAGGCTGGCCAGTTGGTTCAGTTGGTTCAGTTGGTTAGAGCGTGGTGTTGATGACACCAAGATCAAGGGTTTGGATGCCCTTACCGGCCAGCTGCCAAAACAAAGCAAAACTTTTCTTCATTGACACCAAGGCCAATGCACTCTTCTAGGGTGAGTGCTTATATACTGTTATCTAAGCCATGAAGTTTCTATGTAAATAGTCACATAAGCGAAGAGTAAATCTCTCGCAAGCTAGTTGGTTGGTTTCAGAAACTATGAACTCATTTGGGACACAGATGTGTTTAACAGTATTTCTAAATAAGTGAGAACTTTAATGCAATCCTAGCAGAATGATGGGGCTATCTGTACAAAGTCCAGGGCCAGCAAGGACTGAGAACAGACCAGTAACCCTGCCCCTCAGGACAGTGGATGGACTGGTCAACTGGACAAGCCCTCACTCATGTAACTTGAATGCTTCTGGCATTTTTGTGCCAGGGACTGGTGTAGATGAAACCATCTCCTTTTCATAGACAGAAATTTTTATAAATGAGGAACTTTTGGAAATCTGACAGTGTAGAATAAGGACTGCTTGTTGGTAAAATTTCTTGGGTCCCCTTTAGGACAGAGGACTCTGCAATGTGCTATGACAAGATGTGAAGGAAAGAAGAAGAAACCATTCCAGTCCCAAGAAGCTCATAGAAATAGGGACAAGGAATGGGATAGAAAAGAGTGACTGTTCCTGCTGTAAACCATCCCTACTCCCAAGACAGCAGTTTGGTTATTTTGCTAAGGGGTATAACTCAAACCAGAAAATCACGACGACAGCAGTTTTATCTTGGAGCCATGATCATAAAGCATTCCAGCCTTGACGTGAGCAGAGAACAGGGCATCTTAAGAAAATCTCTCCGCTTTCCTCTCCACGCTCCTGAATGGTGGAATAAGTAAGCAGCAGGTCTAAAAGCCTGAGTGGAGTGGGAAGCACTTGTCAACAACAAGGATTTAGCCTTATGACATATGAATCACTTCCCAGTCACACACCCACTGACAATGTAACAGGAAAAAGTGGTATTTGCATGAAGCCTTTTTCCTAAGGAACTTAGGCTTCTCATCATTCGTAAGCATCAGCAGAGGGGATGGCACTTTACTGAGGATGAAACTGAAGACTTGAGGAGCTAACCGACTTGACCAAGGTCACCAAGAAGGGCAAGTAACAAAACGAGATGAGATCCTGCACCCTCTGAGTCACAGGCCAGTGCCAGTCAGTATGCAAGAGAGAGAGTGAATGTCACAGGAGATGAAAGCCCCAGATGTAAACAGCAGCTATGTCCTAGGGCAGAGGACTGCACTCATTACAGAGTAAAGTGCTGCCCCTGTGGGGCAGAAGCCCTCCCTACACGGGACAGCTGAACAGTGTATGAGAAAAGACAGGGCGACAAAAGTCAGGAAGCCAGAGCAACAGGGGACCTCCTGAGGGCTAAATGGGCACAGGTGGAGCAGCTCTGTAAAGCCTCAGAAGAGAAGCTACACCCAAGGCTTGAGTCAGAAAAGAGAAAACCCAGAAAGGACAGAGATGAAAGATGAATCCTTACAAGGTGATAGCACTTTCTCCTGAGGAAGGAGAATTGATAACTGAATACATTTAATCAGCTTCCTCCATCTGGTTAAGAGGCTCCAGCTATGATCTCTTCATGTCTAAGACGTCTTTCCTTGAGGATTTAAACTTCACAAAACTTTACATCTCTGCAGGATAGATAGGTAAGGGGGAATAACAAGGATGCGGTAAACCACAGGAGTGAGTATTGATCTCATGCTTTCTACCTGGCAGGCTCAGTGCTCTACAGATTTATTACATTACTATGCCCACTTTAAAGATGAGAAAACTGAGGCTTAGGAAGTTGAATAACTTATTCAACATCTGTTACCTGGTAAAGTGCAGAGCCAGCATGTGACCAAAGCTGCCTGAACAGGAGCAAGAAATGGGGACCGAAGCCAGGATGCCTGTTTCCTAATTTTTAACTAAACTAACTTGCTTTGTGACTAACTTTTCCTTCACTTTTCAAATGACTTTTCTAAGTGTCATGTAGTTGGCCAGTTTGCCTCTAGATCAGGCAGCTGGAGACCCACAGACACAAAGCACTCCAGGCCCTTCAGAGCAAAAGGGTTCCCTATCTACAGGTGGCCACATGGCTCTCTGGAGTTGATCTGGATAAAAGGACCCATTTGATAAGGTCACATGGCACTGCTATGAGCACTGACTGTCATAAATAAGGATTCGTACTTTGTATACAACGAATTAACCTATAACCTCAAATGAGGCTGGAGAAGTAAGAAGAAAGAAAAATAAAGGGGAAAAAATACCTCCTCCCTACATACAGCCTAAAAGATGCAATTATGTCAACATCTTTGAAGATGTTTGAGGAGAAAATCACGAATGGCATTGTCTTGAGCCATAGTAGAGTTCTCATCCCAGAAAGGACTGGCAAGAACGCATGCATTTAAACCTGTAGAGGACCCCAGGTTCTGATAAACTTGGTTTTACAAGGCCTGATAATCGTTTCATGATTAGGAAGGGGGATAGCAGGGAAGTCATCCTTTTATAATTCAGGAGCTTAGAAAGAAACCAGTTCTCTATAAAGTCCAAACGATGGATCCCTTGCCAATCCATTTTGCACTGAATAAAGACATGAAATAGAATTACTGCTAGTAAGCAGAAAACTGTGATCTTGGAGAGAGGTGGTTAGATGACTGCCCAGACTGTTCTTGGGGTGTTTCTGAGAGTCTCGGTCCAGCCATATGTGTTTAATAACTCATTCCTTTTCATTCCATGCTAAGCCTTGTGAAGATGAAGTTCAGGGACAAGCCCTGTACTAAACACAGGAACCAGAGGTCGTGCTCCCCGGCCACAGCCTCTTTCTGAAGCACAGCACCCATTTGCAGAGAGATGATGGGGGACCCTTGGCACCCGTGTGTGTGCGTGCAGATGGCAGTGAAACTTCCTGAAAATAAGTTTCATTTTCTGCCTACTGAAGAGCTACCAACAGAGTTGAGGGATCTATTGAACCCCAGTAGGCCGACGGGCAGGAACAGCCTAGGAAGTTGCCCCTGCAGACTCCAAAGCTGTTTCAGGAGGCAGGATGTCCCTCAGGAGTGCATGGCAGAGAGGCAGCACAGGAGACCACCCCAGAGCCTTTTCCAGATGTCCCATTCTGAGATCTAGCAGGATGTTCAAGGTTTTATCTTTCTTTCCATTAAATGGAGGAAAAGAGAAGGCTAATAGAAAAGGTTTCAGCTTGGAGGTTTCTGAACTTCCAGATATTTCCAGGTGACAACACTGAAAGCTGTGATGGTCCAGGCTAGGGATCAGGGTGGGGAACAATGATTAGAAAAATTCTAATGAGGCAGATCAGCGGGTATCATCATCTACGATACAGAAGAGGATGCAGATGACAATATATAAGTAATCCAGAGAGAAAACAGCCATAAACTGTAATGTCTGCCCCTATTCCTTCCCTCAGAGAGCTAAAGACATCCCACAGCACCACTCCCACTGGGTTAATGGCCTGAATCAAGGCTGATATCCTGGCGACCAGGACACAAGCATATGGGGCATTTTGTTTTACGGGGGCTACAATGCATAAAATGTTTTATTTTCAACAGATGCTTTTCCCAACAACTCAAGGCAAAAATTGCTGCCTCTTTTCACTTTATGCAAAGAGCAGAGAGTTCTATATGGGTATTCCAGGCCTCTAGGCTATTGTGATTAAAGAATGGCACATTGACTTCCTTTCAACTGCCCCTCCACAACTCCCGAACGATCACAAAATTGAAAGAGCCTTCCAATTACCTTGTCTCTCGGTTATTAAAGCGCATACGATACCACAGTATAATGCGTTAACATATTACAGTACAATTCTATTATAAAACAGCTTCCTAATAATAGACTTTGTCATTCTGAAGGTCAAATCATGTCCCTGCACACAAAAGGCCTACGAGGCAGCTCTTTCATCATAACACAGATGATCTCTAAAAACAGGTGTATCCTAAAACAGCCCTGTCCTTTATAGTATTCCTCTGCTCAAACCTTATGACAGTTCCCCCATTTTCTACAGGGTGAAGTCTAAGGGTCCTTGGCCCAGAGTAGACAACGGTTTCTTAACTGAAAAGGCTGAGTCTTGGTATTTGAGGCTATCATCTGCACTCATCTACCTTTCCAGCTTCGTCATCTGTAAGTTCTATACACAAATCTTCCAGTCAAACTGTTGCACCCTTTCCTGAAGTTTCCTGATGCCATGCTATTACTCTAGTTACATCCCCTGATGGGACCACCCTTTTTCTTGAAGGTGAACTTCTCATATTCTTTATTTTTTTTATTTTTTATTTTTTTCCTTTTTGTCTTTTTTACTGACCGGTAACAGGATCGCAACCCTTGGTGTCGCGCCCGTACCGGGGACCAGCAACGGGATCGCAACCCTCAGTGTTGCACCCGCACCGCACTCAGCCAGTGAGCGGGAACTGGTCTCCACATGGGATCCGAACCCTCGGTGGGAGCGCCACCGCGCTCCCAAGCGGCGCACTCTCCAGTGCACCACCGGGCCGGCCCTCATATTCTTTATTTAATATTCAGTTCAAATCCCATTCCTATAGAATTTTCATTCTGCATTAGTCACCATTTATAACTTACTGCTTTGCATTATTAGTCACCTTTTCATAGCTTCATTTTATTTATTTTACAGCTAGAAAACAAGGTCCTCAATACCACTCCTGCTTGCACTTGTGTATGCTTTAGACCGCTGCTTCTTATGTGCTTTATTGTGCGTACGAATCACCAGAGTATGGTGTCAGAATGCAGCTTCCAATTCTGAGGTGGTATGGGATTGTCCATTTCTAACAAATGTACCACACTTTGAGTATCAAGGCTTTGGACTTTACAAAGTTCTCACAACTCTCTTACAACCTACATGATTCTTATCTCCTCCTATAGTTGAGCTGAAGACTAATAGATAAGTAACCTCCTCCAGCTCACACAATAGGAGAGCCAGGAAAAGGTCTCCAGTCTTTGGACTCTGTCTACCCCAGGGAGCTGCTAATCCTTGGGGATGAGCCTGAATATTCTAGTTCTTTGTTTCCCTCCTGGCTTCTGAAAGGCAGTGCTATATGTAGTGGGCACTTGGGAAATCTCTGACAGTGTTTCTCCACTGCCCTGATGTCCACCCGCTCTATTCTCTCCCTTTGTCTCTGAACCATCACATAAGCCATTCCTTATGCTGGCACTTTCCCACTTGTCTCTATAAATAGGATTCTTTCTTTAAAACTTCAATTTTAAACCTCTTCAGAAGGCATTAAAATATGACCCCATCTGGCTTTAGTTACCCTGTCTTTCTAGGAAAATGCGCTGATTTGCAACCTTTCTATTTTCCCAAGTTTTTGGCACTTAGACACGTTCTTAAAGTTCTTTAAAGGTACAGTTTGATATGTATGCTGTAGTTAAAAGGTGTCTGCAGAAAGTGTAAAAGTCATTTATAAAGCTAAAAACACTCTGTTACAGGCATAACTTGCCTATGCAGTTATATCTTTTTAGCTTTCTAGGCAGGGACTGTTTCTTTTTGTAACGTCTCAGAAATTTAGAGCTATAAGGAGCCCTAATCACTTACAGAGGGGGAAATGAGGCCCAAAGAGGTTAAATAAAATCAACTAAGATGTCACAGGTGGGCTGGGGCAGGGACAGGGTGACAGCCCGGGCTTCCTGACCCAGAGCAGCCTCCTCCTCGTCTGTAATGAAGTAGCAGACAGTGGCACAAACCAAGCATGGGGTGTGTGCACATGGCAGGTACTAAGTCATCGCCATAGAATTTCACATCTGGAAAGAATGTTGGAAGTTATTTCATCTGTCCTCTTATTCTCTGGTATAGATGAAGAAAGTAAAGCCCAGAAGGGTCAAGCAAAAACCTGCTGGGAGGCATGCAGCTTGTCAGGAGCAAGCCACAAATGTGTGGTCCAGAGCTCTTTCCTCTATGTGCCAACAGTCTTGTGTACATAATATAGCTACAGAGACAGGAAATAATAAGTTCCAACTGCTCCTTTGTGTAGCTGGAAGCGCTGCTCTGAGGTCTATTCATGGCCATTAATAAGTGCAACTCCGCTTGGGTTTCACAGTGTGTTTGAATTTCAAAATAAATTGTATTTCGTTCAAGGAAACAACTAAGTTTAACTCGTGTGTTTCAGTGGTTCTCATCAAAGCATCAAGTTCAATTACACAAACACATACACTGACAATTCAAATCAGAATATAATTCAAAGAATAAAAGAACAATTGTTTAATTCACTGATTTTTCTCTCCTGCCAAGGACATTAGTCATACACAATTAGCATTTCCTCTATAATACTGGGAAACCTAGGGAACCTTAAAATGCCAAGGTACACAGCAGGGAATTAGAGGAGAGCTTCTTGAATATTGTGTGTGGAAATTTAGAATTTATATTTATGTTGCATACACCAACTGTCTTACTCTTTGTCTTGATTCTTAAAAATGATAGTATAAAAGATAGTCCTCACCATTAAGGTTTCAAATATGTAGAGGACAGGGTACTCTAAATAAGAAGGTAGAAGAGTTCCCTCGGCTTTCCCTGGATTTTCCTTCAACCTCATGGAGTTGAGATGGGGGAGGGTGGTGAATTTACCATTCTCAATCTCGTAGTCAGCGAAGGCAAGTTCAGAACCTTTGTTGGTGATCAGCAGCTCCCCATTCAGTGTGAAGATCATTGAAGCATCATCCAGGTTAATCATACATCCGACCACATCTCCTGTCTGCCAGGTACGCCCAAAATACCCACTCCCTTGATGCCAACGCTGACCCTAGAAAAAAAGACCCCAAGGCTTAGAGAAAGGGAGGTACTGGAAGCCCCCTGCAGCTGGAGAAATGACCCCATCAGCAGTATCTCCTAACTAGTAGTGGCACATGATTTCTACAGGGCACTCACCTCTCTGCCAAGGATAACTCACAGGGAGGAGTGGTCTGTCTTATAGACTATTCAAACTGAGACACACATGGCTCATCAGAAAAGGTGGCCTTCATTCCTAGTCAGCTATGACAATATGTATGGGCAAATTGGTAACATTTCCCGGCATCCGGCTGCATAGTGCTCTATGCAGTGAACACTATAAAGTGAAGTCAATGGGCTGGGGTATAAGAGCAGATATGGATCTGATTATAGAAAGGAATTGGGTGTACAGTCCTCCCCTTCACCAGAGCAAAGAGCAAAGAAACAATCACTAGGCAAAACTCATTTAATTTCTAAATTAGCCGGTGGTGGTGGCCACTCACTCTGAAGCCTGAGATCTAGACACTCAGTACTTTTAGCTTCTAGGGAAATGGTTGGAGAAGGAAAACTTGGACTGAGGATGTGTGGAAACTGCACAGACTCACCCTGCTGCCTTCAAACACAAAGGCTTGGTCATCAGCCCCCAGTTCAACATCAGGCCGACAGCCTGGCCTGGCCCAGCCGACCCGCATGTCTCCTCCAGTCACCACCTCAAACTCAAAATACCACTTTCCAGATCTCACTGCATAAGACCGCTCCACCCGGAAAAATCGGATCTTGTCTATGCTGACCTTCTCCACAGCTGGGTCAGCTATTGTGAGAAGGAAGGTGAGTAGAGGGTTTGGGAGGAAAAGAGAGAACACAGACCTTTAATAATTAGGTAGCATTCCTCAAGAGAATTAGACAACAACCACTAAGACTGGCCATCAATCTCCCACTATCCAATATAGCATTCAGTTCATAATGTAACAATCATCATCGTCATCATCATCATCACAACAATGTAAGCTACCATTTACTGAGTGATTACTTTATAGTAGATCCTTTAGAGACCATATTTCAGTTTTCTCTCCTGACAGTGCTATAAGGGCATTAATATTGTCTTCATTTTACAGATGAAAAAATTGAGGCTCAGAGAGGTTAAATCCCTTCTTCAAGGTAAGTTTATTCTTCAGTAAACTGAGGAGCAAAGATTTGAATGCAGGTCTGACTCCGAAGTCATCCCCTTAACCATTTATAATATTGACCCTGTGGTCTATGGTACCTCCTAGGGTATGGGATAAAAATGACATGTTCATCAATTGTAAGCTGGTGATTTTAATCAGTGCTAGAATTTAATTTGGAGATATGATGACCTGATCAAAAAGTAAGCTGATATTCGCATGTTTGGAGAACAAGAGAAATAAAGTTGACTTGGTTTTGTGACAAGGTATCCCAAAAAGCTTAGCTACACTGAAAGATAATCTATTTCTTGTGGGATTGGGTCACAGAAGTGCTTATAGAAACATCTGTCAATAGCATGATGTTTTATATCAAATACGGTCCCCGCCTCCTTTTCAAAAAATATACTGTTTAGTTTAGTGCTCTTTAGCACCAATGCCATTTCTAATAGTACAAGTTAGATCTATTTAGAGCATTTCTCCAGAAGAGGATCTGTTTAGTAAACTGGAGCCAGAACGAACAATCTCGACTCATTACCTAGTTCTTGGTCTGATGGCTCAATGTTATACCCATAACCAATAAACGTCCGAACAGCTTCACGCAAGCTGTCCCTGTTTGACTTCTTGGTACGCTCGTCTAGTAATGCATATGGCACCAGACGGGGGTTTCTTTTGTTCTTCAAATCCTATATAGAACCAGACAAAAGAGGTGTTGAGAAAACACATTGCAACTTTACAAACAGCTTGCCCCATTCCCATACTCCCAGCAACACTCCTGGCTTCCAGGCTGGCTCCTACTAGTTACTAGCTCTTCCTCCAGTGCCTTGATATTTAGAAATGTACATATTTGCCACTTCTCTTCAGGATTAAATGAGTATTAATGGAAAAATTTTACTAATGTTCAAAGCTAGCATTAAAAAAACACATTTTAATAATGCCAGCCTGCGAATAAAATGAAGTGCCACAAAAGTGGTTAGAAACCTTTATTTCCAAGGCAGTGCAGATGGAGATTTACGTCACTATTCCCCATGGAAGGTCATGCCATGATTTAAACCGTTATAGCCTCCTAACAACAGCCTCTTAACAATTCTTCATAGAGAACATTAGAAAAGGTGGCAGAGCCACAGTGGGTCCATTTTGATGCAGAAGGCACACATTCATAGTAGAGTCTTTCTCAGTTCCTTAGGAGGGACCAAGAAGACAATAGGGACAATTGCCCTGATAAGTCACCCAAACTAATATGTATGACAGGCTGTTTGAACCCCTTCACTCCCTGACCCTCACATGGCTTCCATGCTTGTATTCTTCATGGCTTCCAGAGGTGTATAGATTTGGAGGCTCAGGAATGAATTCATTCACGGGCACACAGTCACTCCCGAACTTCCCTGATACTAACCCTCCCACTGGTGATTTCTAAGATGAGGAAAGCATTTTAGGGAAAGGTATGCCAGATGGTTTGGAGCTGAACCCTGGCTCTAAACTCTGCCTAATTCCTTTATGTGCTCTAGCTCTCAAGCTGCCTCCTGCTCAAGCCAAGAACTCTGCCCAGGAACCCTTGGCCCAATGGACTGAAGTAAGCGGACACCGGCTTCTGGGAAGGCTGGTTTGCCCCCTCTTGGGCTACCTTCCCCTCCTTTTCACTCCCACTGGTAGATACTTGGGACCATCCCAGAACTACTGCTGACCTATGATGTTGATTTATGTGAGCCTTACCCTACCCTTGGAGAGTGGCGTGAAAGCTCAGCTCTCCACATGCAAGCATAAGCCAGGGAAAAAGACAAGATGCAGCCAGTGGGTGCATATGCAGGGCAACACACCTCATGAGTGAATCACACTAACAAAGGGACAGGTAAGCCTATTCATTTCTGCAAAATTGGAATTATGCCTAGAGTCAATGTTGATGTGACCCTTGCAAATTCTGTCCAGTCCCTCGATTTCATAAAAAATGAACACACTGTGGTGAGAGGAATAGAGAGCAAGGGCAACCTCATCTTTCAATATAACACCCACCAAAGCAAAATGGAATTTCAATGGACTGTCACATCTCTTAACTTTTCCAGCATGCCTGCCCCAGCATTTCTCACCTGTTGAATGCCATAGGTCCATCCTTGTTTGATTCTGTCTTTTGCCCAAACATTGTGTGCGTTTTCTGCAAGCTTATCCACTAAAACTTCTTGAGGAGGTAACAGCTTCACATCAGACAAATCCAAAGGGGCTGGCTTATAGCCATTGGACATCGCGTAGCTACAAGTAAATGCAAAAGTATGTATTTTGAGCAGATCTGTATGACTCCCCCATTCCAGATTTTAGACCAAGAGCACATGGTAAGAGCACTATGTAAATGAGGCTACACTCACAGGTTCTACCTTGTGGCTGAATGGATAGCTAAGCTCCATTTCAAGTGTACAGATGAAGCTCCTAACGTACCATCCTTCTTGCCAATGTATGTCACAGATTTCACAGGGGACCGTTGGAGAAAGTAGAGGGAAATCCATCCTTATTTCTAAGAAAACTACTTATGTGCCCTACAAATGATGGGCATATCCAGCATGCTGCGACATTACCAAAAACTCCTTCATCCCACTTTGAAACACAAAAAGTTAAAACCAGATTGGCAAGGTAAGACCTTGAGCCTTAAAAATCAGCAGAGAATGATCACTCAGTCTTAGAAAGCTAAACCTTTGCTCTTGGAATTAAAAAAAAAAAGTGACATCTGAGAATTTGTGAGATTGAAGTGTCCTTAGCAGTTAGTTGTTCAGTCCAGGAATCACAGCCTCAGCTGTCTGTAATTTGATAGATAATGTGAAGATGTGAAGGAGCTGAGCATGAACCCAGGTGGGTTCATGTAAGTGAGGAAGACTGGGGCACACTGTGGAGTGACTCTCAGGAGAGCAGCTCACCAAAGCCATGTGGGAATGAGAGTCCAGAAGTGTCCATGGCCCTCGGGCTACTGACTGCCCAGACCAGGGCCAGAACCTAAATGTGATGACTTGCAGACCAGGGCTCATTCTACCTAGGATCCTCTGAGCAGCATGAGATGCAGTGTCTATTGTAGGCACATCCACCTTCTCAGGAAGCCTACTCTTGGGCAAAGAGTCGACATGCACTGACTACTGTGTACCGACCCCAGCAGCCTGGCCGGCAGTCTGCCCCTGGGGCTGCTACCTCTCAGACGTGCCTTTCTTGGCACCAGGAGCTGCCTGTGAGACTGGAGGTTGGCAGCTTGGGAGTTTAAAAGGAAAGAAGGGGAAGATTAGCATTTGATTAAAGCTGGCACTGCCTCGGCTCCCAAGTAATGATGACACCTGTGAGTGTGTGTGCACCCAAGGCTGGCATATGTGCCAGTGATCCAGGGAGCCAGAGGATGGGCCTGTGAAGGAGCATCAGGATATGTGAGAATGTGTAATTCTGACTGACCATAGAGGGTGGCAAGGACAGCAGGACACACACAGATCGAGGGGGCCAAATTAAATCTTGGCAGAGACACCCATTTCCACAAAAGATTAATGAGGCTGGTTCGATGCCAGAGGAGTGAATCTCTGCTGTGGCTATGAACCATTTTCAAGCTCCTGTGCCAACTGTTATTCTTATAGACCCAGACAGTGCACCCCTCTGAGGTCTCTGTACCTCCTGGCTCAAAACTGATGTTAGTAGTGTGAGGTCCGGGAAGAAGGAGCAAAAAAGAGGGAAAATCCTGAAATACTTCTCTTTTAACAGGTTTCTAGGTGAGGGTTTCAGAGTGTCTGAGTAACTGGGGGAGCCATCTGAGCTGGTGCTGGCAAGTATCTGGGCTGTCACCTGCCTATGTACATGGGCCTCCCACCCTCCCAGGTTAACAACACAGGCTGAAGCAGTAAAAACTTGACCACTAAAAATCACCTACTTTTTGGGCAGTTTGACCTTCTTGAGATCCTCCTCAGCATCTGGATTAACATGAGCAATGTGGCACCCCAGGGCCAGGAGGGTTCTGTGATGTAACAGAGTGAGAAAACTAGGGTCAACTGAAAGATAAAGGATGGGAAGAACCCTAACCCAGTCCTAACTGATAAACACACAACAGCCATTCATTTAGACCTGGAAAACTTCTCCTGTAGAGGACCAGGCAATAAATGTTTTAGGCTCTCTGGGCCATTCATTTCTGTCACAGCTACTCGACTGCTATTTCAGAGCAAAACCACCAAAGACTATATACAAACCAATGAGCTCGGCTTTGTGACAATAAAGATTTATGTACAAAAATGGGTAGCTGGTCTGATTGTCCCATGGGCCATAATTTGCTACCTCCTGATTTAGATGACAGCAAGCATAAGAATACCAAAGAGAAGCTTATGTGCCCCTCTTGGAGACATTTTCCAATTCACATTAGAATTGCACCTTGCTTCTAATTCCAGGGAATGGATGGGATCCTAACATCAAATCCACAGGTCTGCAAACATTTACTGTGTGATACCTGTGTAGTGCCTAGGGCTGTGCTTGACACCATGAGGTACAAAGCTTTTCCCTCGAGAGACATCAATGTAATGGAAGGTATCACATATATGAGCCTATGAGACAAGGCACCATACAGAGCATCGTTACACCAATAAACCCACAATGTTAAAATGCTCTGCACGGACAACTAGAGAATAGGGAAAATACAAAGAAGAGAGAACAGGTGACAAGCACAAAGGGAATTCAAACTGGGAGATACCAACTTGGGCTAGAAAAGTTAGGGTCTAATTAGGCCCATGGGTAGGATCATGGAGAAACTAAAAGTTGTTTTAAAGTTGAATTTTAGTAAATCAGACAATATTTCTCATTGGTTTTTAGAAATATATTTTTTTGTTGATTTAATATGAACTACAGAAGGTGCTTGGTCCTTTGATTCTAGGTTTCTCTTCTTTTTCTGCCTCCTACCTTTTCCCATCCCTAGCGAACAGCAAATGGTCTCTGAAGAAATATATACTAAATAATAATGATAGATTTGTTATTCACTATGCTAAATCCTCTTGTGACATGAATAATCATCATCCCCTCTAACTTATCAGAATGTGTCATGTTTTCAGAGAAGAGACATTCCTTTGCAGTTTCGTTATAATGCATTAAATCATGCACTCATTGTTTTGTACAACTTCAACTCAATTAAACACTCACTTTAAGGTTTCAGTTGACATCTGCAGGTTATAATTCTTCTCAGTTTCGGGGAGCTTTGAAAACTCTACAAGGCAGGGATGTTGTCTTTTATTGTCATCCCGAACCTAGGTGACAATATAAGAAAAAATACAATTTAAATTTTGACAGCTAGCACTGCATTGGAAAACAGAAAAAAAAAAAACATACTTTGAAACATGGCTCAGGCAATCCACATCAGGCAAGACAAAGACAGCAACTTGCTGACAGACAAACAGATGAACTTCTCTCTAGTGAGCCATACATACAGTCCCCAAGTTGCCAATGGCTTGTGCTCTGTGGATATATTTCTAGCATATGTCGGCATTTAGAACATACTTTTCCAGAGAAGCAATTTTACACGTGCTAGTTGTGCTCCTGTTTGTCCAAAAGTCACATAACCATAATGTTACTGAAGGGTAGCATTCTTCAGTACATAAAGGACTATAGAATCTTGACCAGCGCCATCCAATAAAAATGTAGTCAGCCATAAATATGAACCACATTTGTGATTTCAAACTTATTAGCAGACACATTAGAAAAGAAGAAACAGGTGAAATGAATATTAGTAATGTATTTAACCTGATAAATTCAAAATATTATCATTTTAACGAGTAATCAATATAAGATATTATTTATGGGATATTTTACATTGTTTTTCATATTAAGTCATCAAAATCTGGTGTGTATTTTACACCTACAGTACATCTCAATCCAGACTAGTCCCATTTCAAGTGCTGAGTAGCCACATGTGGCTCATGACTGTTGTATTAGACAGTGCAGACCCAGACACTGATTATTTCATTCATTCATTCAACAAGTATTTGTTGAGTGCCTGTACTACATGGTAGGCACTGAGCTAGACATCAGGAGTTCAGTGGTGAGCCCAGATAGCCCCAGACTTATGAAGCACACAGTCTAATGGGGCAGGGAACAGTAATAAAATTATTGTACAAATAAATTAAAATTGCAATCATGGTAAACGTCTCTAAAGGAGAGGTTTGTGGTGCTGGAAGACCAGAAAGCAGAGTGGTCATATATAAGGAGAGTATTTTAAGGCAGCTATATAAACACGTAAGTGCTAGAGTGCAGGAACTTTTCAGTAACTGAGCTGGAGTGTGTACCATTTGAGAATGTCAGGGTCACAGGAAGCTTCAGAATTCACTATCCTTCTGCCCTCAGACACGACCTTACACAAATCACAGAACAAAGTCAATTTATATCCTCTTTGAAAAATGCTTTCTAGTGAAAGAAATTCCCTAACCTGCTCTGAATGTCCTTTAATCTTAGTGATACATCTGAAAACCATACTAAACAAATTCTGATGCAAAACAATGAGTCCACCACTTTCCACCACCCATGCAGAGATGACAGCTTTTTCTGAAGAGAAGAAGGGGAAAAACGAGTGTTCTGAAGGAGGTGCTGAGGAGCGACTGCTGTTGATATGCCCCAGCTAAAAGCAACCCGCATCTGGGAAAAAGCCCACAGGAGGAGCCCGGTTCCACCAGGGTAGGGTGGGTCTGCTGGGCACTCCTGACTACTGCTGGACGAGCAGCCCAGGCTGCAGCGGGAGCCAGACACCAGCGGGAGAAAGGCAGTGCGCTGGGGCTCATGGGGTTCCTGTCCTCACTCGAGTCTTTGAAGAACCTTCCAGGGAGCAAGGCAAGCCGACCCTCCATGCCAGCCTGGCCGCTGAAACATACCTTGCCAAATGTCCAGCCAAGCTCTATTTTATTCATTCCCCAAAGCTCGTGGATGTTTTCAGCCAGTCTGTCTCGGATCTTCTCTAAGTGAGGTGGCAAAACAACCTACAGGAAAAGGAGCACGTGTAAAGCCAGAACTGCAAGAATCAGTGGTAGTGATATCTATCATAACATCTATCAGGGTCATGTGCCCCATTTGAACTCTGTGGCATGTCACTCAGGAGGGCTGCACCCTCCCACCCCGCCCTGCTTGACCTCCCCGCTCCCAGCCATCCTCTTCCCTTCCTGGCTTCCTCTCTGACCATCCCCCTCATCTTCTCTGCAGATACCTGTGTTGCCCGTCCTTCACCTGCGAATGCTTCCCTCGCCTCATTCCCCCACTCCATGCTCCTCCTTGCACCCGCCCCACACCTGCAGATGATCACTCCCAAGCTGACGCATCTCCAGCCGGGGTCTCTCTTGAAGTTTAGACCCCCGGTTCCAACTGCCTGCAGGGATTTCTCATCAAAGTGAGCACAATATGTTATCCAAAGTTGAATTCATGATCTTTCCTTCAAAAGTCTTTTCTCTTCCTGCTTTTATTTTCTCTTTTTGTTGAATGGCCCCATCATCACCTCAAGCCTGGAAGCCTCCTATTGTCTTCCTTTCTCCATGGCATGACTTCCCCTATCTAGTCAGTCATGAGATCTATCAAGTTTATTTCCTAAGAGTCTGAAGGGTCCCTTCCTCTACAATGCTCAACCACATTGTTTTCTCCCTGGACCAGTGCAAGAGCCTCACATTCGGTTTCCCCAACTCCTCACCAATCTACCCTTCACACAGCAGTCAGAGTGATAAGTCTACAACAACAACAACAAAATCACATCAAAACCCTCTCCTTGTGAGTGTCGCCCATGTGTTCTTTGATACTCCTAAGACAAGACTAGGTGTACTGACCAAGTACACAGTGCTCTTCTTCAACTTTGTCATCATGGTCTCTGCAAACACATTCTTTTCAAACTTCTTGAAATTCGCCCAAAAGGCCACACTGGTTCATAGTTCTGTGCCTTTACCTATGTAACATTTATCTTTATTAATACTCTTCACCATGCATACAACACACACACCATGCATACAACACACACACACACACACACACACCTGGGAAACTCTCTCAGTATCTATCCTTCTGAATTTAGCTCAAATGTCACCACCTGATTACCTCCAGGGAGAGTTTCTCTGTGTTTGCCTGGTGTTTTGCTCCTATCTCTCACGAGGTCACTTGTCTCTCACAGCTAACAAGTGGCATAATGTTTTGATAAGGAGCAAAATGAGGAAAATTATTAGCAAACAAGTTACAACTGTACTTGGATTATATTGGTTAACTAAGGTAATCTGTTTAAATAAGTGTTCCTTAGTTAATCACAGCCTGAAAATAGATTTTCAGGTTAGAGGAACCACAATGCTTCAGTGAAATGGAAGTATAGTTACCATGGAAAGAAGCCTCCACAAACAACCCCAAACCATAATTTCAATGACCTCAATAGGTGACTATGTGGGACTGAGTAGCTGGCTTGATAATTGCCTCCTGGGAGTCTAGAGTCCCCAGGGAAGGCTGCTTGGAGTTGGGCTCCTTTCTTCCAGTGCTTGGCAAGGGGCTGGGGCAGAATCTAGACAGGGCTCTAGTTAGGCCAGGCATTAAGTGCCCTTGTTAGCAATTCTTAGTCTGCCAACTGGTTAACATGCCTAAGACAGATGGAGAGTTGACTGTGTATCTTATATTTACTTCCCCTTTGACATTAATTTCACAGAACGGTAGAGTCTAAAAAATTGCAAGGTCTCATTTAAAATAAGAAATTGCACCTTCCAATGAGAACTTCCCTATTATTTGATTTCCTAGCAACATTTCCTTAGTTCTAGGGTCCCCACAAATTCAGCTTCGGGTCAAAACATCAAAATTCTGCTGGCTTATAAGTTTATCTCTGCTCTGTGATTTCCAGATCTTCAGTTCTGCATGTTTAGAGACCTCTTCTCATTTTTGGATCAAACCCTCCTTTCCTCCCACATTGAAACTTGCCCTCTCTCTTTCTTTCTTTTTTTTTTTTTTCCTTTTTTCGTGTCCGGCAACGGATCGCAACCCTCAGTGTCGCGCCCGGACCGGACCGGGACAGGCAACGGGATCGCAACCCTCGGTGTCGCGTCCGCACCTCGCTCAGCCAGTGAGTGGGAACCGGTCTGTATGTGGGATCCGAACCCTCGGCGAGAGCGCAGCCACGCTCCCAAGCGGCGCACTGTAGCAGTGCGCCACCGGGCCGGCCCCTCTCTCTTTCTCTTTTAAAGAACTCTTTTTGAGGCCAGCTTCTTCCAGGAAGCCTTGTCTGAGAAACACACACATTTCTGATTACTTCGTAAGGAGAGGTAGCCCAGACAGAAATCATACTTATGTTCCTGTCCTCTCTGTGCTTGGACACTAGCAGCCCTGCGTCCAACTTCAGTCTTTGGCCCTCAAACTTCCTGTCTATGAAGGGGTCCAGAATACACCACAGTGGCATAAAGATTATTTTGAGCTGAAGACACTTTAGAAACAACTGATGCAGGAAAGGGTTGTTTTTTTTTTTTTTTTTTCCTGTACTCCCCTTATCTGCCTAAAAAAAGAGCCTCTCACAGAACTGAACTGTTTCTTCTTTGGGAAGAGTGACTCTCACCACAAAAGTAAGGTCAGCACCACACCTAAACAGACACTGTTATAAAACTATCATGTCTCTCATCTATTCTCTTAAGGACCCATTTATCTTTCCTAAAAATCATCTGTTTTCTCAGATGTGCCTTCTCCTGCTCCCCTATTAAGATGGTATATATGCTCCAAATTCTAACTTCCTCCCTGAGTCACATTTCTTTGTGTACTAGGTGATTAAAATCTGTTTGGTTTTTTTTTCTCTTGCTATTTTGTCAGATCTGACTTTAATTTGCAGGCCCTCAATTACAGAACTAGGAGGGTAGAAGAGAAGTTTTTTCCCCCAACATCTAGAATACATAGGAATTATACTATCCAATTCCTAGGATCGCCTCTAGCTCAGAAACTCCTCCTGGTTTCCCATCAACATTCTCACTAGCCCCTACATTCAACCAGCTGTACTAGGCTCTATGAAGCAGGCAGAGAAATGCTAGTTTCTATTCTATAGGAATTTACAATCATTAGCTAGAGGAGGAAAGTAGCAAACTGATAAACACATAACCAGCTGAATGTAATAGGGTCACATGGATATTATGGGAAAATACATGCTAGAGACATTCTACAGGCGAAAAGAGCTGTATTAGTACAAGCTATTAACACCAAGTTCTATAGGGGCAAGGTCTCTTTTAGTTTATTTTCTCTAACTTCTACAATAGTGATTCAAATAGCACTGGTGTGTAGGAAATGCTGAAAATTCTTGCATGCCCCTTGCCATACCATGTAAATGTCTATTTCTCAAAATATAGACCCTGGAAAGGGAAAGAAAATATCCATTTATCAGCACTTCCAAAGCCCTCCACACCATCCCGTTTCTTTCACTTTTATTTTCCAACTCTTCTCCCACCTGCTCCTCCTCTTCCAAGCATCCAGCCATATGAGAGCATTGTCACCTGTCCCAACATTGTGTTTCTACTTCTAGACCCATATTTATCCCATCCCTGTTACAACACCCCTGGACACCCCTCCCCATTTATGCTTATTAGAGCCTCTGTCTGAATTCCATTCTCCCTATACAGATTTCTAGAAACATTCTAGCCTAAAGGATGTCTCTAGAATTTACTTGTGCCTTCTATTCATTTTGCGTTTACTACATTCAGCCTTTTAAAAAATAATACATTTGCGTCTATCCTCAACTTAGTTACATATTCCCAGAGAATACCCAAATATTTCTGCCTGTCCTGTTGTAGCAGGCGCTCAACATGATCATTGACTGAGAAATCCTTAAAGAGTTCAACGTGTGCATGTGGTGGAAACATGAAGAATGATAGTTGTTTATATTACATGGCAATTCTACAGAATGTGTAGTAAGAATGGTTTGAAGACAACATGGGAAAAAGAAGAATTTAGCACAATTACTTCATCTCTGTAGGTCTCCTCCTATAGGCAATTTGAACCTACCTGACTGGTGTCTATGGGGCACGGGATAAAAGAGGCTTGGGAGAGGAACTGGGTGGTACCCAGCAGATCTCTAACACCTTCAGTGTCACGCTTATATTCTTTGACAGGCTCCAATCTCATCTTCTCTTTTGGAAGTAAGGCTTCGTAGCAAGGGGCATAGCCAGAGGGAGGCAGGAACTTAAATTCTCCGTGACGTCCACCCATCAGGAAACGTACTCTGTGTGGTTTGAAGAGAGCAGGAATAGAGAAGTTTAAACAAACAAACAAACAAACAAACAAAAAACCCAGCCCAAATAAGTAAAAATTTAAAGATCAGTCTCCATCCTATTTTTTTAAACTTTCAAATTACTGTTTATTGCTTATATAAACATTGTTTTTTGGGGGGATACAGAGTTACATTTAATACATGTATACAATGTGTAATGATCAAATCAGGGTAGTTAGCAAATTCATCACTGCAAAAGTTTATTGTTTCTTTGTGATGAGAACATTTGAGTTCCATCCTCCATCCTACTCTCCAAATAATTCTCATAGGAAGTGACTGAATTCAGATTCAGCACAGCAAACATTCTAATGTACGTAACAAAGCAGTAGAGAGAGAACCTAGTGCCAAGGTATGGTCCTCAGCTGACCCATATCAGCTAAATTCTTAAAAAATGTATTTACATACACACACAAAAAAGAAAAATCACTGGTTTTTAAGACCAAGCTTATCTTTACTCTAGCAGGTAAATAATTACAATAGATATTACTACAGTATTGAAATGACTGTTATGAGTTAAATGTATCCCCCCAAAAATTCATGTACTGGAATTCTGACCTCGATTGTAACATTAAGAGGGTGGGAAATCCTATTATGGTAATAGAAAGGTGGAGCTTTTAAGAGGTGATGAGATTGTGAGGACTGTGCACTTCTGAATGGACTGATCCATTCATGGAGTAATGGTTTAATGGTTTAATGGGTTGCCACGGGCATGGTTCTGATGGCTTTATAAGGAGAGCGAGTGAGCAGGTTAGCTCTCTTGCTCAGCCCATTCTTGCCGTGAGATATCTTGGTCACCATCAGGACCCTGTAGAGAGTTCCCACTAAGAAGGCCCTCACCAGATGGGCCCCCCAGACTGTGGGCTTCCCAGCTCCTGAAATGTAAGAAATAACTTACTTTTTCTTATAAATTACTGAGTCTCAGATATTCTGTTATAAGGAACAGAAATGGACTAATACAATAATGTTAAGATTATTCTCTGTAAAGTTCATATTAAAATTATAGTATGAGATCTTAAAGTCTTCTTACTTGAGGAACATTACCCACACACCAGTTAAAGAAAATATGATACAACTATCTGGGGGAAGTAGGAAATTCTTAAGATTCAGGCAAAAAGATTAAGTAACAACAGAGTATTAACTATAAATGGCATATGAGGAGTCTTCAAAATGTTCATAGAAAGATTTGTATTATCTTTTAATTCCATTTTCCACAAACTTTTTGAAGTACCCTCACATGTGGCAGGTGATATTTAACAGAAACGACACAGTGCAGAGGCTGCAGTTCCCCAAGCAGCAACACAAGGGCGACTCTAAGAAGGTGGCCAGGCTGCAGGGGCAGGCGGGCGTCGAGGCTTTGCTCACTAGGATGCCAGTGCCTTTCTCAGGGGCACCATCTCCCTGCTGGCATCCATGCCTGACACCCGGGCCTACCCCAGTAGTGCCCACTGGGACCTCCCAAGGAAGGGGGAAGGACACTTAGGAGTTCACAGTAAAGGCAGGCAGACACTAATTACCAATGCACAGAAGTCTTTTAATACTTTAATTCAGCATGTGGCTGAATGTCAGCACTGCGTACAGACAAGTTAGGTCAGGGTTAGGGTTAGATCCCGAAGTTCCCTTTGCAAAGAGCAGAGGGCATAAAGTGACCTACTTCAAAATGCTACTTCATATGATCCTGGGTTTGAAATTAGAAATACAGCTTTTGCAAATCAACGGCAACATTAAATTGGTGAAAAATAAGCCAACAATTTTAAGTAATTAAAACATGGCAAGATATGTAGCCCTACAGGTTCAATGATAATTTCACATAGGAAAAATCAATGTATACATAGTGTCTGCACATAACATTCCTTCCCTTCCTCCCTCTCTCCATTTAACAAATGCAAAACTGAGCCCATACAACTGGCACTCGGTCTTTGCACTGGGGATTCAGCAATGAACAAGGTATACAGTGTCCCTGGTGTTGCAAAGCAGGTATCCTAGTAGACAAATAGGCGTAATTACTGATTAGGAGACATCTGATGGGGAAATCAAGAGGGAGGTGTGAAATAACTAAGGGAAGGGGTGGCTCCTACAGAAGGTGTCAAGGAAGGCTTCTCTGAGGAGGAGAAGTGAGTGAGCCCTGAGGGACAAAGATAAGCATTCCAGGTAGAGGAACAAGTGCAAAGGCCCTGTGGTCAGGAAGAGCTTGGGTGGAATAGATCACAGAAAGGAGGGGGGGGGGTGAGAACACCATGAGCTCAAGGGGCAAGAGATGAGGCAGGAGGGGTAAGGCTGGATCAGGCAGGGTCTGGGAGCCCTGGCAAGGGGTTGGGATTTTATTCCAGATCAGAAGCTGTTGATGGGTTTTAAGGTGAGGATATACAAGATTCTTCTAGCTGTCCTATGTAAATAGGTCTGGAGACCAATTAGGAGCCTCTTGAAGTAGCCGCAGAAAAATGAGGGTGGGCTGGAACAAGGTGGTCCAAGCAGCCAGATCCCAGTTTTATTTTGGAATTAGGATTGTTAGGAATTGCTGGTGGACAGGGTATACGAGTGGGGGGAGATGGAGTCTACAGAGGAAGGTTATGATTTAGCAAAGCTCTCACAGCAAGACACTTCCTGTGAGGCCTCACTTCCACCAGCAGGAACATTCTGGTAGCGAAGCCTTGCCAGCGAGTCTCAGAATTGGCTGCATAATCATGATTGTGGAAATATCCTTATTATGAATCTGGAAAATAAAAATCCTTTCAAGTGAGAGATGTTAACTTTTTCTTCCCAATAAAAACAGATGCTTTAACTTTAAAATTATAAGAATCATATGAAACCTCCCACTTTCCCATTTTAAAGTGCTAAACAACAATGATATAAAATTAGAATCACAATGGTCCCTTGTGTGTTCCTACAATAAGTGTTATGTAATAGGTCATGACCTATGCGTATTAAGAATATGAACAATGACATTAAAACGAAATTGAGTCATTAGCCTGCAATGTTACTAATTTGGTGAACCTTCAGGAAATAATGACTAAGCCTCGAAATTATTTATTGAGAACGTACCAATTCAATTGCCACATAACAGATTGTGTTACTGACATGTTGAAGCCATGGGATAAAATTGGATCTTTTGGAGCAAAGAATTAGTGTGGGAAGTTTTCTGCTCTCTTCTCCCTGAGCATCACTCCTGTGAGAAGCTGACTGCCCAGGAGCTTGTACAGCAAGTGTATTGTTTCTCACTAGTGTATGGATTCCGAGAACAAGTAAATGGTCTCTCATGAGGACTTCTAGATGGACTTAATTATTCATGAGCTCTCTTGCTGGGTCTGTTTAGCTTCAAAATTTCTCTATATTTTAAAATCCGCTGGAATGATAACAAATCAAAAAAGATGGAGTTCCATGAAGCACTTAAAGAGAATAATGCTTTCTGCTTTTATATTCAGTTATTAAAAGGAGAGTCATAATTTGGTTATAAATCTTATCTCCTCTAATGGCCACAAAAACTGTAAAATGAAAAACGAACACAGGCAGAAATCAGTGTTTACTGCTTACCGAGGCTCTGGCCTTGCAGAAGAAAAGGTCCTGGATTGCTCTGGAAGTCCTGCCAGGCAAGAGTCCCTGTTCCCCAGCAGGTGGGATTGAACAGGAGATAGTCCCAGGGACACCCACCATCTGAGGCTCCTTCCCTCACCATCCATAAACAACCTGCTCAGAATCTGTGGGAAGGGATCCAACACCCTGCCACCAATATTGGTGGTCCAGCTTATAACTTGCTCTAGGAGATCCAGATTGACGAGGTCAAAGAAAATAACTAGGGATAAAATTTAGGTTTAAAGGGAATGATTAAAAGAAATAAAATACCCGAGACTCACTTTAGTTTATTTAAGTGTATGAAAGGGGCCTTCCTCTGTCTCAAAGTTTTGGCAGAGGTCCCAAAGGCAGGCCTATAAATCCATAATTCTGAGGATGTCAAATATTTTTACATCCTGAAGTAAGGTGCTAGGTCAACCATGCAGGATATACCAAGAAACGTGAAACCAGTTCCATCAGCCTCAGCCCACCACACCCTCCCAGACTGACAGGAGAAAGAATTTAAATCTGTTTGGAGAGAACTGCCAGGGCCCTTCTGAGGTCAAATGATGAGGGCTTCGATAACTACTCAGAAGCTTGACAGGTATCCCCTGGAGTTTAGTGAGGGACACATTTGCCTCGTGATGGAGCAGAGAGAGTAAGAAATGGCCGCATAGGAAAGAGGTGCCCTTCTGCTCAGGGTGAGGCCAAGAACTGTTACTCCCTGGAAGGCCAAACACAGACTCCACCAATGAGCCGCCATCGGCCATCCTGAAGGGGCTTGGCCCAGAAAGTCAGATGACTGAGCAGAGGTCAGAATCCAGGGGCGGGGGCATGTGGGAAGGGGGATGTAGAGGAAGGTTCAGGGTCAGCCGGGGGGAGCAGCCAGCTAAGGCTTTATCAAAAGAACTGTGGTAGGAGGCTCCCAGTCTGAGGCTCGCTAAGAAAACTACAAAAGGGCCCCAGAAGAGAAAGAGGCAGCAATTGTATAACTGCTACACAAAGACCATATGCCACATGACAAGAGCATGACCCCATAGGATGTGCCTATCCCCCAGGCATCTCTCCTCCAGCTCAACTCCAGAGGGATCTGAAATAGGAGGTGGCTAACCTGGGAGGAGGTGGACCAATGCAGATGAGAAGCTGACCTCATACTGCAGGCCCGTGGTAGGGGAGGGCTCAAACCTTAAACTGGATACAAATCTGGATGTTGTATTCAAATAGATGGAAGTTTTAACTTACTGACAGGACTGTTCTTGTTCCTAAAAGGAGCAATGGAAGTTCTAGGACCTGCCCAAAAACATATCCATGGCCAGAAGTCCAGAGCATGAACTTACAGGTGTAGAAGGAGAAACAATAAATTAACACCTACCTATCTACTCTCAATAAATCTGTTATCTGGCACT